TAAAATGAGATGTTTATCCTGTATTTGATTGTGTTTATCTGCAGCTAGTTACACGAATTCAGTTATGGGGTGAAATCAGATAGAGATGAAATCGTTTAGGGATGAACGAGTTTAAGAGTTTTAAGAGTTTAAGAGTTTTTAAGAGTTTAAGAGTTTTTAAGAGTTTTAGCCAAATGCTTTATAATATAGTATAGATAAATAAATAAATATATATATATATATATATATATATATATAACTTTCTAAAAGAAGTCACAAATAAACACAATAAATAAAGGCAACATTTTGGAGTTATTTTTCTTCCATTCAAAGCACAATGCCATCCTTCCTATAATCATCCTATTTCAAAAAGCAATCACAATGTATGTAATTCTTGTTTTCCCATCAAGAAAATCTTCAAGAAAACCACAAAAACAAGTATATACAACACAAAACCAAAAACAAAATCAAACTACACCCACTTCTGTTTCAACCTATCTACACCCAAACACCACCTCTATATCAGCATAAATGAATCAGTCAGCAGTCCTCTTGATTCATACTACCACTTTACAAGTCTAAAGACAAAAAAGCTTTAACTGTCAGAATCTCTCATCCTCTTCTTTGATCTCGTTTTCGGTCTTGAAGGTGGCTCGGCGGCTTTTGAATCAGTGACGGATGGTGAGCTGCTTGACCGATGATTGTTCTTTGGGTTTGACTTTTCAGATGAGTCTTTTGCATTTGACTTTTCGGATGTCTTCTTTTCTGACCTGGAACTCTTGGGTGTTACGGGTTCTGTGGGGTCTACTGGAGGTTTGTCGTAATAGATGGCTGCATCAAGGGCGTATATCCGTAGAGAAAGAGCGGAAATGTTGGAGATTTTAGCAGCGGTTGAAGGTGATGACCAATACCACCATTCTTTTCTCAGATACTCTGTTTTAATCATGTCCTCTAGCATGATTGTTGCTTGTACCATCTGAAACATTCAAACTGTTTATTCAGCGCAACAAACAAACAACAAGGTATCTCAATCTATACAGACAGGTACAACCATCTTTATCCATACAAGACTTAATGAAAAACCAACCAAACAGCCCCATAATCAGATGTTACTTGCAGATTACCTACTTGTAAACATGCAAAAGGAATACCATATTCCACGAGAACACAAGGTTTTTGCAAAAGTGTGATATTTTTTTCCCGCCATTTTGGTACTCGGATTAAATGACCTTCCAACAAATTTTCTTTTAAATTCATGACCTTCTGAGTTCTGACTGATAATAGAAAAATGTTTATATTCCATATACACACAGAAAAATCCGGTAATTTAGCAAAATGACATCTTGACAAGTGGTTTTAAGATCCTGGTTTCTAGATATTCTTGTCGTGTATGGAAGAGGGCTTCTTGGTGGCATTCTTAGAACCTATCTGAAGGTCATGGATTTAAATGAAAAACTGTCAGAAGGTCATTTAACCAAAGGACACCACAAGAACGAAACCTGTCAGAAGGTCATTTAGCCAAAGGACCCCACAAGAATGGAACTTGTCAAAAGGTTATTTAACCAAAGGACCCCACAAGAACAACACTTGTCAGAAGGTCATGGATTTTAAAGAGACATTTAGCTTAATTAGCTTAATAGGACTCGCAGCTTAATGAGCTTAATGGGACTCGCGGCTTATTCGGTAAGCTTTTAGGGGGAGCTTTATGAAAAAAACCAAGTTTTTTTTTCCAAACTTGTCCCTAACAATTAAAAAAACATGCTTCTTCCATCTATGAAAAAAGCCTCCCAAATAAAAACCTTCCCCATACATACAGATTAATCCACACAGACAACTTTATTCATACAAGACTTAATGGAAAACCAACCAAACAGCCCCTAAGTCCAACGTTGCAATTTTCCTGATGCAGAATGCTGATTTTTGTATGATGGAAGAAAGATTAAAGTAATGAAATTACCTCATAAATTGATTGTGCCGATTTCACAAAAGCACACCAAGCACGTAAACGATCCAAGCCTCCCCTTGAAGGTCTCAAAGCTTCTTGTGGGAGTGCAGTTTCCATATCAAACAAATTGATCTTAAGCAACCGAAGGATTTCAAGAACCCTGCCCATTAACGGCTTCAAGGACGATTGGCAAATACGCACCGGAGTTTTGTTCTTCAATGAAGATTTTCCACTTGTACCCTTGGGCTTCAATCTTTCAACCTTAGATGGTGTCTCATTTGTACCCTGTTTCTCCGACGGCTGATAATCTGTTGACCCGTCATAGGAATTAACCCATTTTTTCGTTTCTGAAACTAACAATAAAGCAGCATCACTATTCGGTGAAGGCACTTTTCCTAGAAACGATGGGATTCCGTTTGACCCGATAAGCCCTATATCTTTGACTTCTTCTTTAAGAGAACTTCGAGTGCAAAACTTGGCCCGAATCTCCTCAAAGACGAATGGTGAATCAGGTTCATCACGACGAGCTGTCAAAGCTGGCTGCTTGTCAAATGGAACCTTCTTAGATTTCGAGGGACCTTCACATTCTTGACGATTCTCACATTTTCCATCGTTATGCCCATCTAGCTCCTCGTTAGTCAAAAATGTCCAGTGGCATGATGAGCAATGGTGTCGAGTAGGCCCCACTAACTCCAAACAATCGCACCTGTACCATTTCCCCTTGTTGATCATTTTACCCTTTCGACCCTGCTTCTTCGAAAACTGAATCGCCCCTTGTTCCATGGAAGAACCAAACTTCTTTTCCAATGCTGCCCTTGCTTTGGTGCCATAACAGGGATTCGCTTGACCTGTTTGAACACGGTTTTGGGGGGCATTAGCGTCATTTGGTCTATTTGTTTGCCACTGTATGATGGTCTCTTTCAATTCTTTCTCTCTTGAATCATCGTCTCTTAGCCACCCAATGAGCTCCTGAATTTCTGTATCGGATTCGTAGCAAGTCCACAAGGCGTCATCAGATGCGTACAATTCAGGCATTTCACATTCATTCAATCTCGACAAGAAACTGGAAGAGGCTGCAGATGCCTTCCGTCTACTATGTGGGCCCGACACAACCAACCTTTCAGGATCACTAAGAACCCAATAGTGTCTTCCAACTAAATCCCTCCCCAAATACTCTCTTCGAACAACAGGTTTCGCTATTTTCGATTCCAAAGTTGAAATTCTTTCCTGTAAAGAAGAAACCCTATTCTTGACATCAGCTGCTTCTAGTCTGTTTTCCTGCGAAACTGATTCTTGATCCTGGCTCGCTTTTACATGCCTATTTTCGTCATTTTCTTCATTTTGTACTTGACTTTGACTATCACTAGATTTTGAAAAGGACCAATACTCTTCCTGACATCTATCTTCACTTTCTTTAGCCGAAGTTGAAACCAGAGATTCTTCTCTTTTATTTTGGTTTTTCAACTCTTTGTAGAGCTTTCGCAACTTCTTTTCCAAATCACCCGAGTCGGGACCTAGGTGATTTCGAACAACTCCAGAGCTCAGGGCCTCATCACATAAGAATTTGAAAAGAAAAACTCTCTGAAAAGAAAAAAGGTACAAACTTTATACATCAATATGGATTTAGGTTTACTCTATATATGTAGTGTCAGGTTCAGGGGAAAACCGAAAAAAAAATGAAAAACTGAGGAACACTGGTAGCCGTTCATCCAAATAGCATGCACATGTGCATAACATGCACACGTGCATAGAAACCAAGAAATAGCCTCAATTACTTGTATACAATAGAAACCAAGAAATAGCTTCAAGTACTTGTATCCACATGTGCATATGGCCTAGAACTCCAGATGAATGGTTACCAGGGTATTCCTCAATTTTTCATTTTTTTAGGGTTTTCCCTAAACCTCCCTCGCTCTCTCTCTCTCTCTCACACACACACACACACATATATATATATATATATATATATATATATGGAAATAGCAAGTACAAACAAATGAAAGTTAAAAAGAAGTCAAGATACGAACCTCCTCGATGCCTAATTCCCAATACTCTATTAACTCCATTGCATCCGCCAATGGAGCCAGTGTCTCCATTAGATTTCGAGTGAATTCTTTCCGAAGTTTCTTCTTTCCACGCCAACGACATAGTGCTCGGGTCCCACAACGCTCATCTTGTGGAGTGGATTGACTTGAAATGCATGAAGGGCAATACCAATTCCCATCAGGAATCCTTGCAAGTGGAGGATCTAAACAGTATGTATGGTATTCGGAATCACATTTATCACATAATAATACGCTATCATCATCTTTATCCATCCCACATACTTTACACACCCCGTCCTCCCATGGTGCAGGGGGGAGTGAGCTCTCACTTGTCTCAACGAGAAGAGTATTTAACTCTTTCTTCCCTTCTTCGCTTGACGAATCAAAACTGTTGCCACTCTCCATAATTCTGCTGACCAGGTTAAGTACCTAAGGTAGTAAACGTGCATATATACGTCAAAAATGCTATATAATATAAGGTTCAATTGTACCGTTCTCCTGCATCGTGTGCATATATCTTTAAGGGTGTTTGCGGTGCAGTTTGGAGCCAAAACCGCAAACCACACCACATATGTGGTTTGAGCATTTTCCCAAACCGCACCGCATAAACCTCAAACCGCAAAAAAAACGGTGCGGTTTATTCAGTTTGTACCTATTGCACTTTATGCCTATAATCCAATAATTATAAGTTTGAGAATACATGATAATATCAATGATAGCGTGACTGTAGTCCAAAAATATAAAGAGTTCCAAATAATATATATATATATATGCACGTATTACATTTAGTTAAAATATATATAAAATATGTGGTGTGGTGCGGTTTGAACAGATTACTCAAAACGGAAAACCGCACCGCCCAGTGCGGTTTGGTAAAAATGCAAACCGCAAACTGCACCGCAGATGTTCTAAACCGTGCTTTGCAGTGCCGTGCTGTGCGGTGTGGCTGGTTTGGCGGTTTGGATGAACACCCCTAACTATCTTAATTCTCCAGAAATGTAAATAGGATTCACAAAATGAAAATATTAAATGGGCAATTTGGTAAATAATGGTTCAAGAAAGGAGAAAAGGCCTAGAGAATTCAACTAACCTCTTCCTCATACAATTCTTCAAATTTTCTCGATAGCGTTTCAACCAACTCAATGTGATCGTGTTTGTCACGATAAGCTATTCGTAAATTCTGCCAAACCTGAAAAAAGACTGTATATGTCAGAGTTCGAAGTACACTAAATTAATCCTCTCTCTTTTCATTTTTTAGCTTCATTGTTCAAAGTTGCTTACAATAATTTGTAAAACAACTGAAGCATACATGATAATATGATATGATGAACAATGAAGGATACCTCACGAACATCCTCGATGAAAGATTCATGAGAAGTGACATAAAAGCCCGCAGCCAATCTCAGGTCAATTGTCCGAAAGTCTAATGGACGGGAAACCATTGCAGGATATCCAAGAACTCCCGCATCATCCGGATCATTTGGCTTCAAAAATGTTTTCGCCAAAAGATTGAAAAAAACTCGGTCATCATCTGCAGCAGCAACAGAGCGTAAAACTACACGACACCGTTTCATAACAGCATCGGATAGTGTTCTGACACCACTCTTTTCCTTCTCTTTCTTCTCGGTGGGCTTCTGCTGAGGATTTTCGACTCTCACTTTCTCAAGAACCGAGATAACAGCTCTCTGTTTCGGTTTTGATCAAGTCAGTTATAGAGTACTAAATAAGAAACATAAAAAATTTAAAAGATAAATTAAGCACCTTTGTTGGTCCCGATGCGTTGCCTTTATAGACTTCTTTGCTTATCGAGTGTTCCAATATCTTTTTCGCCCATTCGGGTGGATTTTTGTTTAAAGATTCATGAATGCACCGCCTAATTCTTGCACCAACGTTAGTAGGTAACTTCCTTACAGGTTCAAGAACCTGCATCCACTCGGGGGCGTCATCATCGATTAAATTCGTTTCCTTGGCAGAGTCTCCGGTATCGATCTCTTTCTGATCTATAATAAAGTCGACAACTTTACTGTTTACAGAAGAAAAGATTTTCTTGGAGGCTTCTGCTAGAACCTGAAAATAACAAAAATGAAAAAAAAATCTTGTTGGCAAGATTTAGGGAAATGGACTGAAATAGCCTATACCGTCAAAGCAATTCACTTTTAGTCACTCTTGTAACCTTTTTCGACTTTTAGCCAAAACTTATGCATAAGGCTTACGCATATGTGTAAGGACTTTTTTTAATTTAAAATTATTTCGCATTTCACGTGGGTTCTCAAGATTGACTGGGTTCCACGTGGAATCCTTACGCGAATTGCTTTGATGGGATTTCTAAAGTTTAGGTTAAAAGTCAAAAAAAGTTGTAGAAGTGGCTAAAAAGTGAATTGCTTTGATGGGATTGGCTGTTTCAGTCAAGTTCCCCAAGATTTATCAACAGAAAAACAAAATTAAAAGATACCAACATAAGAAATTATGATTCTAAGAATGCAGGATAAAAACATGATTGATCTTACCATGGCATCAGCCTCCATTGCCGCCACTCCTGTAAGTGAACCACAAAGCGTGCCACCATCACCGTTCAAGCAATGGAACACTTTACCACACTCACGAGTCATGACCTCCGAAGACTCAAGGTTACCGTCCATAGACAACACAACCAAAATGTATCTCCGGGCTAGTTCGGGCCAAGTAAATTCATTCACGGGAAACATATCAAGATTTATCTTCTTACTACCAACTGCAACGTCCACATCTTTCTTCCTCCCTTTTCTTGTCTTCGACTCCATGGCACCAAAAGGATCAAAGATTTCCTTAACTTTAACTAGCACGTCTTCTATTAGCACCTTTAGTAGTGCCATGTGGAATTTCGCCAGTTCGACACCTGTACATTTGCTAGCTGCTTCTGCTCGAGAACCATCTCCCTCGTGTTCTTCTGCTGCATCAACAGAATCTTCACCGTCGACAGAGGGAATACCATCTCGTCTGTCAACTTCACATGCTTTCATGATCCCGTTCTTTTGAAAATCAATCGATGATCTTTTCACCGGCTTCAAATCATCAACCCATGGGTTCATGAGCTCATTCTCCATCACTTGTCTAGATACTGGTGCCTCCTGGCCCAGAACTTCATAAAACCGCAAGCAGATCTCATAGGCCTAAACGAAATAATATTGAAATTTCAGACATAAAATTGGGAAAATGGCACAAATAGCCATTTCAGCCGACCAAATTTACCTCTTAGCCATTTCTCTTCCACTTCTTCAAAAAAGTCACCACCTCCGCAAGTAACCATTCCTCAACTTGAGGAGGGGGCAACAAAAAATAATAATTCTGAACGGGTCCACAAGTAGCCTTCCGGAAGTTGAGGAGGTATTTAGACTAATTTACAGATTTGGTCCTGTTGCAAATGTGTTACTTGCGGACCATGTTCAGAAATCTCTTTACTTTTTATTTTTTGACCCCTCAGCAAGCAGAGGAATGGTTACTTGCAGAGGTGGTTACCTTTTTTGAAAAAGTGGGAGAGAAATGGTTAAGAGGTAAATTTGGTCTGCCAAAATGGCTATTTCTGTTAATTTCCTCATAACATTACAAACTTCATATCTCACTATTACAACCAAAACAAACTATTACCTGAAGAACATCACCAATCAAATGAGGAGGAAGGATAGAGGTGACCGTGTTGCCTGGCGGACTCGGTCTTTTGTGGCTTCTTCTGAGACTATTTGACACCATCTCGTGTGGTAAACCGTTCTTACTTATAGCCATAAAGAACCCACTCATGACAGTTTGTGAAGTCGAGCTTTGACATCGTGCATTCAAAGATTTATATTTGGAACAGGCGCTAACCCCAGGAAGTTGTTCTATGAGTTCTTGTACAAATTCTGCATCTAAACCAAATCTATCCGGTTCTAACCATTTTCCAAGCACTTCACAAGCGGATTCAAGCTCCTCAACCGTCAGTATCATCTCCGGGATGCTGTCAACAGGGCCGGCTAAAGAACAAAACTTCCCTAATGAGTCAATATCGTAAGATCCGCTAAGATCTTGTCCGTCAACATGATGATTGCAACAAAAAGTTAGAGCGTTTTTCTTGGCGTAAGCTTTACGGCATGCACGTAGTAGAGTTTCTACGGCTTTCTGCCAAGCAGATGATAAAGAGCGCTCTTCCACTGAAAATTCACCGATAAGATCATTTTTGGAGGTGATTCCTTGAGCTTTTTGAAGAGAAACGCTCGGTTCGGCAGTCAAACAACTTGTTATCTTCAAAGAACACGAAGAACTATCATCATCGTCATCTAGATGGGGTGGACTATGTTCTGTAAACATCATGTGAATGTTTGCATCATCATCATCATGAAATGTCCCATTAATAGCAGAATCGGCATTATCCCAATGATTTGACCCACATTTTATCATGCAGAGCACTTTTGAAGCATAGGGAATTGACTGATTGGTGCATGGGTACCTATGTACTCTGAAAATTGGGCCACATTCGCCACCATCTAAAACGTCATGGACGAAAATGGACCCAGTGAACTTATCGTGCCAGATGGATCGATAACCTACAGGGCAGATTTGAGAGGTAGTGTGGAATGAAGGCCGTGGATCAACTTTGCCAACTGATATAACAAAGAACCCTTCAAACTGAACTGGGAAATCATCCTGATACAAAAATGGATATTAGGCCAAATGAATAAGCTTTTTTTTTTTTGGAAAATGGAAAACGGAAAATGATTAAGCTTGATGAATCCATTGATGTCAAGCAGAGCCAGAATTTGACTATCTGAGCCCAGCTCAAGCCCAGTATGACTCGATCTCGGCAGCTTGGCAAACCAAAGGAAGGGCCTGTTTGTTAGCAGCTTAATGAGCTTGATGAGACTCGCAACTTATTTGGTCAACTATATGACTGTTTGGAAGTGGCTTAATGATATAGAAAGTGGCTTATTCAATACGCCTTCAGGGGGGAGCTTTATGCAGAAAGCCAAGTTTTTTCCGAAGCTTTCCCACCCAATTAGAAAACACGCTCCTTTTGTCAATGAAAAATCCCTCCTGAACAAAAACCTTCACTATCTATACAGACAGATTAATTCACACAAACAGCTTTATCCATACAGGACTTAGAGCCTGTTTGTTAGAAGCTTAATACGTTTAACGGGACTCAGCTTATTCGGTTAGCTATACATGATTGTTTGGTAATAGCTTAATGATATAGAAAGTGGCTTATTCGGTAAGATTCTATGAGGAAGCTTTATGCAGAAAGCCAAGTTTTTCCAAACCAGTTCATCCCAATTAAAAAACACGCTCCTTCCATCTATGAAAAAACCCTCCCAAACAAAAACATTCACAATCTATACACACAGATTTATTCATACAGGACTTAATGGAAAACCAACCAAACAGCCCCTAAGTCAAACCCATCTAGCCAATAGTCATAGAATAACTATTTATTTATCCACAAGTTTCAGCCTCTTGGAAACTTCTAATGGTAATTCTTTAACCAATATCAACCAAGACAGGGCTCAAAGCTAATACAAGCCCATCCGAGCTGAGCCAAGGCTCAATCTTATTTGACCTATAGGAACCAAGTCCTACATGAGCGGACCCAATGCTCAAGCTTTACAAGGGTCGAGCCAAGCCTGAGCTTGAGCTCTTAGGCTTTGCAATCGAAGTAATTATATACAAGGAAAAGAGTATATAGATACACTTACACGAAATGATTGTGACCCATAAGTACCATTAGCCACAGAGTCAACTTCTATTGCATTTCCGCCATTGCTGTCCTTGCTGCGCAACATATTCTTATGCTCTTTGACGTTATTGCCCCTCTGTGACCTTAGAGCGTCCTTCGTTCTTTTCGTAGAATGCGATCCTTTCTGCAATAATACAATGCCACTACCCTCATCTTCTGTTTCAAAAGGTGTTGCTATTAAACCAAGACAATGAGCAACTTCTGACATGGAATTGAATCTAGCTCCATCTGGGGAAAAGTAAATTGCAGAAGTTTTGCAACTGCTTTCGGAGTATTCGAATTTAACACGCCACCCATCTCCTAGAACACCTCGGTTTTTGGATATGTAGTCTTTAAGTGCCTGCAGATACACGAGATTGCCTTTTTGTGTTGCGTTTTCAAGATTTAAATGTGCCATCCGTGTCATACTGCAAGCGACATTTTGGGATGGAAATCCACTAGCTACGAACTTCATATCTGAATGGGCCATTGGAGAACTTAAAGCAAATCCAACAAAAGGATTACGCCGCATATCGTGCATTCTGGAAACCAAAAGACATGATAGTCAGTTTCAGAAAAGGTTCCATCTGGGCAGCATAAGCCCTACAATGAAACAAATAAGAAGATAATTTATTTGCACTTATTTTCATTCATGTCCAACTCACTGCAACATGTAGCATCAATATTCTATGTACAAAGTTAGTGACTAGCATCATTTTTAACACCAAATATCCTTAAATGAGAGGCACCAAATATCCTCATTTCATGTGGGTTTCTTTTTATTTCAGTTTCATGTAAATCTTTAACCTTCATTCTCATTCAATCACTACATACACAGGGAACTGATTTATTTGCTTGATAGCATGCGCAAGTTTTAAACTTGGAAGACGGCCTAATGCCCCATCGATATGCAAACTAACACATAATAATTAATAAATAAAAGGAGATACTTGTCTAAAAGTCTAATGCCGACCTCCAATCACTTCCTGCTTGATATCATCAACTCCTTTATTAAATAGATGACACAATAATGTATTTATTTAGTGTTTAGTGTAATTACAGTGAGAACATAGTCTTCAAGTTAAAATAATTATGTATGTCTTGGTTTCAGAAAAAAAACCCAACAAAATTAAGAACTAGAGAGAAAAGAGATGATGCAAAAAAGACTAAAAACTATAGTTCCAAGAAAAGATAACAACCCTTTCGTTAAGTCCAATTAGAAACCCTTTCCATGCTCACTGCACCAAATCTTGTTGGTGTGGTGATGAAAAATAGGAGAAACTTTGAACTTTAAACCTTCAAAAGTGTAGTTTCTTGAAATTTTGACACTCACCAATGCATCAAGGCCATGAATCCTTTTGTCAGTGGAGCCCACATCCTACAAGATCTTAGCTACAACACCAACCCATTCGCTCTTGTTCTCATATTGTTTATTACACTCCAAGCCATGCCTAAAACGGGTGACTCTAAACCGTGCTTCCCATTTGGTGCTCTCAGTATGTGCAAAGAAAGGTGCCAACAAACTGAGATTGTGATGTGTGACTAGAGACTTCACCATTATTAAAACAAAAACAAGAATGTCTCAGGCCCGGAGCCTGTTTGTTAGCAGCTTAATGAGCTTAATGGACTCACAGCTTATTCGGTCAGCTATACATGACTGTATGGAAGTGACTTAATGATATAGAAAATGACACATTCATTAAGTTTCTAGGGGGGAGCTCTATGCAGAAAGCCAAAAAAAATTTCAAACATGTCCCTCCCAATTAGAAAAATGTTCCTTCCATCTATGAAAAAACCATCCCAAATCTATACAGACAGATTAATCCGCATAGACAAATTTGTCCATACATAACTTAATGGAAAACCAATCAAACATCTCCTGAGCTAGTCTAGTGGGTTCCCCTTGTGAGTTGGAGAGACTAAAATTTCTTATGCCCTAAAGTTTTGCTCCTTAGACACCCGTCCGTGGAGCCTGCAATCTAAAACTAAAGATCCATCCAAACCAACACAACTCGACAGAATGAATTGAAACCCTAATAAGATATAATAAGTTACTGGAACAATACAAAAGCAAGATGAAAACACCAATGCCAATGATAAAGATAGAGTAAATCATCAAATGATGTAAAGCCACAAACACAAAATCATTTAATATATGATCTTGAAGTAACGTATTTATCACAATTTGAAAGATATCAAACCTAAAAACTTGTCATATGAAAACCCATTGTGTTTTTCTCGTGAAACAAGCAAAAAGCATAAATTATCAAGAAAACAGATTTCATACTGGCTTGTCTTCGCTCATACCATAGAGTTGTCTTGAGTACGATCTTTACCATTTCTTAGTAAGATCCCGAAAAACTGAAATGCCCTAACGATGGTCTAATAGGGTATTTAAAGAGGATTGGTCGGAAAAACAAGAATACACATTTGGAAACTTCCAATGCTACTCTTAGGTGCCAATTCTAGAATGTTCGTTACAAAGAGGTAACAAAATATTATTTACTTCAAACCCTGAATTACATAACAAAAACATATCACACAAACGGGGATCATCGGGATCATCAATCAAAGGTAACATTTTAGATTTGCATTTGATGGAATTAAATCTAGACCTAGCAAAATGGTAACATCTTTCCTACCATTTACACCTACAATATCAATCTTCGATTATTCAGTTAAAAACCCATTAAAAATACTCAAACTTGCAGGCATATATCCATAAAACTTCTAAATTATGCATGATCCAAGATTAAGACTTTAAGCATAATAACATTTAATAGATGTATTGTTCAATATAAAAGGGGCAGGAAACTATACTTTGGAAAGGTGGCTGCTAATACTAGGTTCGAATTTACGAAATAATCCTCCTCACAGCCATCTGCTTCTCGTGGAGGAGAGGCGTTCATGTCGAAAAGCCCTGAACCACCACCACTTCCGGCAGCTCGCGACAACCTCCTCCCACTGCGGCATTCTATCAAACACTCAAAACACTTCCAACCCCTTTGCTCTTCTCTCACCCCCAAACACTTTACATGAAACCGTCTCCCACAATCACCACACACCACCATCGACCCTTCCACCTCACCACAAGAACCGCACCGGTGTTCCGCCGCAAAACCACCAACGGCGCTGCCACCGACAACTTCTCGAGGAGAAGGAAGAGGGGCTTCGTTAAGATCAATTTCTAAAGCCACTGAACGACCACTAGTTCCAGCTATTGAAGAATTAGCGGACCCCGAATGCTCCATTGAAGTAGCAAAAATGCAGAATTTGGTTTCTCTCCAAAACCCACAAATGAATTCGACTCAAATCATCAAGAGAAAGTTAACAAAAAGAGTCTACATCAACAAACCAACTTCAAGTCTTCAAAGTAAACACGAAGCATTGAAGAAAGACGTCTGAATCTTTACGACGATCAATTAAAGAAACCCATCAAGAAAAAATCGAGTCTTTACCAAAATCGAGTTGCATTAATTACTCGATTTTTCAAAAACCCATGAAGCATTGTGAAAGATTTGAATCAAAAGAGATGTAATCGGGGAAGAAAGTGAAATCTTTGTGGGTTTCAATTACAATGGATGTTCTTTGCGACGGCTATGGAGACAAGGTTGTTGATTTTCCGGCGAGGAGTGTAGAAGAGGCAAAACAAAACGTATATGATGGGACCGAAAGAAAGTGAAGGAGAGTTGAAGAAAGCTGTGGAAACAGACTGAATCGAGAAGAGAAAGAGAGCCCTGGTTTTGGGTTTTCCTCGAGAATTGCGAAGAGGGGATTCCTTAGTTCGCCGTTTGTAACATCAAATGTCCGAATCACCCCTCTTTCTCATACTTGAAAACCCCTCTTCGCTAAAAATGTCATTTTTATTGAAATTAAAATACAATTTACTTCGACGATGTCAAGAAACCTGAAATTGGAGTTTGAATTGATAAGTTGGTTGAATCTTTATGAGAGAAAAAAAAGTCTGAATTTAATCGGGTAAAGTTATTGATTGTTTAATTAATCAAGATTTCGTTATCTTACGATAAAATCATGAACGAAGTCGTTATTTGGAAACCGATAAGAAGGATACAATACGGCTCTTGTCTTTATGGTTAAATTTGTTATCTTTTATAACATGAAAATGTCAATAGGAAAAGAAAATAAAAAGACAAAAAAGGGGTTTTCTTTTGACCAATAAAAGATTGTGATTCACGGAAAATAGCCATTTGGTCTCGAAGGGCCAGATACCTAATACTATGTGGAGGTTTGATCGATATTTCAAAAATGGTAAATGGTTGAGCTTGGAATGATATACGTTAGGCATAATCAGCTGAATTTTAATTGCTTACTGTCAAGTTTCGATTAATCTTAACTGGTTATGAAGGCACAGTTGGACTTGTCCATGTGTAACATATCCAACTAACTCGAAACTGATCTTGTTACACGTTTTATATATCAATTAACATGACTTTATAGTCTATAATCAAAAGGTTATTGGGTTACTGTACTTGATGGCCCACCTTTCGAAGACCATCTCCAATGGAGACATCAGATGTCATATTTGACACTAAATTGCTAACAGGGATGCCAAATTCCGTGTAAAACTATAATTTATACTAAATTTTATATCAGTTGGAAATGATAAAAATAAATATACCAAAAATCTTATATTGTCGTGTAAGATTAGATTTGGTGCTAACCTTCGAAAAAGATTTATTGCTCACCCAATTTATATGGATTTGATATTACCCATTAGAGATGTCTTAAAAGCAAGAAGTTCAAGTCTCGCCATGTGAATTTAATTGTATATCTATACTATATTATAAAGCATTTGATAAAAACTTTTAAAAATCATTTTTTATGCATAAAATACTGCTTATTGATACATATTATTTAAAATTCAAGATTACAATTAAATTGTGTGCAAGTACAACTTACTAAAACTTTATTTTTGAATTTGTGTAACTAATTATAAATAAACATAATCAAATACGGGACATACATCCTATTTTGAATATAGAAAATCTAAAATATAATTAGGATAATCATTAATTATAACAAATACTTAATTATTATCTTTATAAAACTTATACTATTGAACGATAAATAAATTACTTCATTATTAAATTATAAATAAAATGTGGAGTTAAAAAGATTACACAAAAAGCCAGAACTTTAAATAGCAAATTTAATATTAATATCGATATATTTTTTTCCCAAATTTTTATTATATATTTTATATTTTGTTCAAAAATAAAGAATTATCATTTTCTCAAAAACGTATTATATCAACATAGATAAATAATAAAATGAAACATTAAAATTAAAATATATCTTTTTATTTATACTATATTATAAAACATTTGACAAAAACTCTTAAAACTCATTTTTTTATGTATAAAGTATTGTTTATTAATGCATGTTACTTAAAGCTCAAGATTACAAGTAAATTATGCGTAAATACAACTTATTAAAGCTCCATACCTAAATTCGTATTGCAAATAAACATAATCAAATACATGATAAACATCTCATTTTAAATATAAAAAAATTTAAAATATAATTAGGATAATAATTTGTTCTAACAGAATACTTAATTATTATCTTTATAAAATGTTATATTATTAAACCAAAAATAAATCATTTTATTATTAAACTTAAATTAAATTATAATAAAAAATTAAAAAAATTACATAAAAAATGAGAACTTTTAAATAGTTGATTTGATATTAACATTGATATATATTTTTTTTCAAATTTTTATGATATCTTCAAATTTATATTTTATTTAAAAATAAAATCATTATTGTTTTATTAAAAACACATAAAATCGTATTATAACATCGACATAGACAAATAATAAAATAGAACATTAAATCGAAATGTATCTCGCTGTATTGGACGAGTACCCTTCTACTATCATACAAGCACCCTTCAAGTAACTTCTAAAAAGAAATAAAAATCCCCCACACACGCCTTAATTAAGAGATTTAACCGAAAATTACACAAGTAGCATTACATAACTTGCATAAACCACTTTTCAGATTAAAAAAAACAAAAACAGGCATTTCGCAAATTGCTAAAGTGAATATGATGGGTCCACATAACACTTACGCAACTTGTATAATGCCCATTTTTCCTCATTATTTCAATTTGAAAACTGGCCTTATATAATTTCCGACTAAATCCGTCAATCAGTTCAAAAGCCAAATATAAAGTGAATTAGAGTTAGACGATCCAACACGGCTATTTTAGTCAATTTCCCGAAAACATAGACGTAGAAGAATGCTTTACAAAAGGTGCCATTGCACGAACAGACATTGCAATATGAATTAAGAGGGTCATTGAAAGCATTTTGTATACAATGATTTCACATTTTACAGCTGACGAAATCCTTTAATCGACAGCAAAACACAAGATCGAAAACAAACAACATAGTTTACAATTTACGGTACAAATTCCGAAAATCAAATGACCCAAAACCAACTAACGACCGAACCACATGCCAGACCCACTACCAAAAACAACACGAGCACGGTCCCAGCCGTCTCCGCGTGTTGTAGCGGCACCATTTTAGGACCCAGCATCAGCAAACAGCTGGTCAAGTAGCCATTCGTGAGCCCGAGAAGACAAGTCACGATGGTCACTGGAATTTCGGTCCGAAGAACCATAGGACCGTGTAAACACGTCAAGTAAACCGGAAAAAACAAAAGCCGAGCAAACGAGGCACCTATCGCCACCTTGGAATTAGCGATAACGTAAATTGAAGTCAAACATTTTCCGACTAAGTCAAACACGTTGTAAGATGTAAGAAGGATGATTGGATACCAATCTTTGAGGGCTTGAGAATGAACGTCTTCGGTAATAAATCCGGGAAAAATGGCTAATGTCACAACGTAGAGGATGACGGTACCGAGACCGTACCATTTTATCGTCCCGATGATATCCCATAACGTTGAGTGCAATAGGGCACCAGAGTCCCCTCCCTTCTCTTCCTTTTCGTCGTTCACGGCTTGGATCTTTAGATCGTTGTAGTGCTTGATGACAGGAAGTCTGTGAGCTATGTTATGCAAGACGATGCATATGAACATTACGACAATGCTAACTGCGAAGTAAAGATTGGCGCTTTTTCTAATCCCTTGAGCATCTTGTGAGTACACGGCTTTAGTAAAGATTCTTAGAATTGATATGAGAACTCCTGTAGTAAAAAAGACGTAAAAATTGAAACTTTTTGTGAAAATTACATAAAGAAAGGATGATCAAAGTAAAAATCAAAATCCAACAATATGAGTCCACTCACCATGAGTATAAAACCAAAAACACTACTATACATGACTGTTTGATAGTAGCTTAATGATATAGAAATTGGCTTATTCAGTAAGTTTCTAGGGGGAGCATTATATAGAAAGCCACGTTTTTTTTCCAAACATGTCCCTCCAAATTAAGAACACGCTTCTTACATCTATGAAAAAACCCTCCCAAACAAAAGTCATCCCATCTACACAAACAAATCAATCCACACATACAACTTTATCCATTCAGGACTTAATGGAAAACCAACCAAACAGTCCCTAAGTAGGGTCGAGGGGTGAGAGTGAGATGTATGCAGACCTCACCTCTACCATAAAGGAGTAGAGCAGTTTCCGTGAAGTCCCCCAGCTTGTGCAAAAGCTCAGATATATATATATATATATATATATATATATGTGTATGTATATATATATATATGTGTGTGTGTGTGTATGTATATGTGTGTGTGTATGTGTGTGTATATATATGTATGTGTGTGTATATATATGTATGTGTGTATGTATATATATATATATATGTATGTATGTATATAATATGGAAAAACCGTTGTTCCTAGCTGTCCTAATTGAAATCATTCTCAGATAAATGGATTTACAAAGTCATGGTCCGGCTTACAATCCAATCCGGCTCATTATCCATCATCTTTTTAAGACTCGTCAAACGTAGATATGTACATATGGCGCATCCCTATGCATGTGTTTGTTACATTGGTCCACCATCAACGCACCTATTTGATGATTACTCGAACAAGATGCTAACTATAATCACTCTAGTTTAACAAACGGAACGCAGCCAAAAACATGTCCTATATTCATACGAAGCTTGATTCAAACAAAAAACCTAGTTCTCATTGATTTGTAGGACGTGTTGATTATAAATTTCTATTCTTTGGGGGTAGAGTTCAGATTTACGTACATCCCACCCCCAGATCCTCCTCTCAAGCGGGATTTACTAGGATCGTTTGGTTTGGTATTTTCAGTCACATGAAACAAAAGAAATCATAATGATTTTGATTTCTACAATTGCTTGATTCCATTAATTTTTGTGGGATTTGATGATTATAATCTCCCCCCTTTTGCTGTGAATAATCATGAGCAGATAATTAATTCAGTTCGTTTATCCAGTAAACCTAATGATCAAGTTGTGTGTTCATCAATCAACTACTATAGCTAGATAATAACTAGATTGAATTACTAAAATCAATGCAGTTGATGATCGATCAGTGAAATTAAGCAGATTCAGTATTACACAGATCAATAAATCGATCAGTGAAATTAAGCAGATTAACTATAAACCTAAATAAACAAATTATCAATTGAGAATTAATCAGACATTGAAGAAATCACCTAAATAAACAAATTATCAATTGAAAATTTAGATGAATCATAAACCTAATTAAACAAATTGAGAATTTAGATGAACAAAATCCCTAATTATACAGGATTGAAGATTTAGATGAACTATAACTCTAATTTAACAAATTATCAATAGAGAATTAATCAGACATTTAAGAAATAACCTGAAAAACAAATTTACCTGAAGCAGCAGTTCCGGCAACAACAGCCTGCATATACCTCTCCGGCATTTCACCGGCGGTCCCAATAACTCCGCCTTGAACCAACGCATCGGCGATCCCAGACAACCCCACCGCAGCCACCGACACATAAAACCCGCCGTAAACCCCGACCTGACCCTTGATGTAAGTTACATCCATCACAGGAACAACAAGCAACGATACAACGAACAAACCTAGACCGACGTTAATCCTGACGAATGAATGAGATTTGTGCGAGTAGACGACGATAATGAGAAGAGAGATCAACCCTATAACCATGTAAACGACGGAGAAAACACGGTCGACGGAGGCATCGGGGTACAGATAGGAAAAGTAATCGACGGCGGTGATGAATGCATTCCATGGAATCAAGTAACCTGTGCCAAGGATAAAGTAGATTATGTAGGCTAAATGGTAGGAGTCTTCAGGGATTTTGGCGTTGAGTTTCGGGAGGAGGAGGCGCGATGGTGATTCGTAGTCGTCGGCGGCGGTCGCTTCCGCCGTGGGAGAGATTGTTGTGCCACCCATATCGGCGGAGATTGGAATTCTGACAAGATGGGAGTGGGTCGTTTGAGTGGAGCAAACAACATCTGTGAATCAATAATATGGAGTAAACTATAAGTTTTGGTCCCTGAAGTTATGATAAATATACACTTTGGCACAAAGACTTTATTTATTACATTTCCAGTCTAAATGAACAAATGTCTTGTCGTATTAAGGGTGTCGATACAGTAATAAGTTTTTCTCTTTATACCAGGTATTGATTTAACTTCCATTGATGTTTTCGATTTTATAAAATAAATAAAGGGTTAAGTAAAAATAATTTCATATTTTGGCCTTCCAATATATTTGGATGTATAAAGCAGCATTTTTAATGTACTTTTACCAATGTCATATGAGTTGTGAGCTAAAATGTTATAAGAATTGGACTTATAGACCCAAAGTGTAAAACAAACAAACTTGTAGACTAAAACATCATTCATCATAAGTTGAGGGACGATTATTGTAGTTTAGTTTAAAATTGGTCATATAATTCAAGGAAACGATAAGTATCCCGAAAGGAAAGGAAATAAATAGAAAGCCACGTTTGTTTCGCGGGTTCCAATGTCAAAGGAATCACTAATTCCTTTTTTAAGTAAGATTGCTTGTTGGTATGGATGATTTTGTAAACGAATCAATCATTTGATACAAGCTTTTTAAGAATTGATTTTTATGTTTAAAATTTAAGATTGCATGTATAAATATAATTTATATTTGTTTAATTAATTATAAATAAATATAATTAAATATATAATAAATATCTTATTTTAAATATAATTAAAAAAATTGTTGAGTTATAACAGAATAATTAATTACTATTCTTATAAAAAAATTATATTATTAAACTAAAAATAAATTGTTTTTTATTAAACTTAAATTAAATTATAACAAAAAATTAAATTAAAAAATCGAGAGCTTTTAAATGGTTATTTGATACTAATATTGATTAGAAGGGTACTCGCACAATACAACGATATACATCTCGATTTTAATGTTATATGCTATTTTTTTGTCTTTATCGATATTATAATATGATTTTATGTGTTTTTAATAAAGCAATAATGATTTTATTTTTGAATAAAATATAAATTTGAAGACATTATTAAAATTTTTAAAAAAAATATCAATGCTAATATCAAATCAACTATTTCAAAATTATCAATTTTTATGTAATTTGTTTAATTTATTTATTATTATTAAAATTTAATTTCAGTTTAATAATGAAATAATTTATTTTTTGTTTAATCATATAACATTTTTATAAAAATAATAATTAAGTATTATGTTAGAACTCAATGATTATCCTAATTATATTTTAGATTTTTTATATTTAAAATGAGATGTTTATCATGTATTTGATTATGTATATATGCAGTTAGTTACACGAATTCATATATGAAGCTTTAATAAGTTGTACTTACGCACAATCTACTTGTAATATTGAGTTTTAAGTAACGTACATTAATAGACAATACTTTATGCATAAGAAGTGGTTTTTAAGAGTTTTTGTCAAATGTTTTATAATATAGTATTGATATATTTTTTTCAAACTTTTATGATATCTTTCAAATTTATATCTTATTCAAAAATAAAAACATTACCACTTTCTCAAAATCACATAAAACTGTATTATATCAACATTAAATGAAGAATAAAATAAAACATTAAAATCAAGATATATATCGTTGCATTGCACGGATATCCTCTAATTTTTTTTAAAGCATTTATAATGAACGTTGTTATTAAGGTTTCTGTTGTAGTTTTAATAAGATTTTTATTGTGGAAGTACGTTATTATCAGTCTCATGTTTTTATAAGAACACGAATTATGGTCTACATTTCTTTTTAATATTGTTTTTTTTTTCTATTGTTTCTTAACTATTTTATTTTATTTTAATAAATTTATAAAACATATAAGTTACAATTAATATAAATAAAATATTATAAAATATATTTATTAATTTTGTTTTATTTTTCGTTGTTTGTAAAGTTTTATATAAGTTGTATTTTATTTTAGTATTGTCAAGTTCTCACGTATAAGTCAATACTTGAGAATCGACCAGGTAAAAAGTGTCAAATTCCCACAAATTACGATATTTGTAGTCAAAACTCGAGAGTGACATATACCGCTTTGCCTCTTTACCACACTCTTTTACATGCATTGCCTAACAATATTTATTGAGCGGTTAAATAAAAGTGTCACATAGTTAAAATTCATCAAGCAGATGCTCACTTATATGGATACATCGTTCACATCATCAACAATTACCAGTTCAAATCTGTTCAGGGAAGATGATTGTATTGTTTCGATCGTTTACAGTTTTGTCCCCAATTCAATATGATTTTTTCTAAGCAAATATTTTATACAGTCTTAACTCTTAAGTTATTGGAATATAATTTCACAACTTCTCTGATTTACTTTTTTTTTTCCTGGTAAATTGTTCTATTCACCAAACATTAGTTGGGAATCAAACTACATAGGTCAAATTCAAGAATCAAGGTTAATTATGGTGATAATGGGTCAGGTTGAGCTGGATTCGGATTCATCTCATTTATTGAACAGGTTGAAAATCTTAACACAACTCAACCCATTTAATTAAATATGTTGAAGTTTTTCAACCCAACCTGTTACCTAAATGCGTTGATAGCGGGTTGGTCTGTGTATTATTTTTCAACCCAACTTGTTAAATAAATTGGTTGAATCTGAATTGACCAATTTAATTTTGCAATTCTAAATAAAATAAAAAATATTAGACTTAATTTTATGAGTAAAACACAACCACAACTACAAATACAAATAAATTGTTTAAGTTTGGATAAAACACAACCACAATCATAAATGCAAATAAATTGTAAGTATATCGACTTCCGGTTTCAATTTAATAGGTTACAAACATGTTGTAAATTCTAACCCAACCCAACCCAACCCATTTATTTAAATGGATTAAACGGATTGACCGATTTACTTAAATGGCTTTCCACTTAGCCGTGGTGGCAAGATCGTGTGTTTCAAATCATATTCCAAAAGTTGCATTTTCGATGTATTTTGGAAGACATATTGTCTCCATGTGTATGTATCATTTTGGTTCTTACAAGATCCAACCCGAATACATATTTAATTTTACAAAAAAAAGCCTGTATTAGTTTTTTTCATTGAAATTGTTCTGATTTATATTGTACTAAATCTGAACAAACAAAAATTTGCATTGTAAGCCATTATTATTTTGATTCACCAGTTATTTTGTTTGACTTTTAAAAGTCAAATGATTTTCAAGGAGAAAAAAACAATATCATTGTGGCAATTTGTTCTTTTTATCATTGTCGTATGTACTTAATACAGACTTTGTATTACAAATATTGAATTAACCTGGACTTTAAATATTTATTTCGTCTTTAATTAAATAACTATTTTGTCTTATGAACTTAACGTCATTGTCGTGTCAGCTATTATTATAACTAAACTGACATAAGTGATGGACATATAATACGTTAGAACTTATAATTTATAATTTAACGTTTAAATAACATCTAAGTAAACATTTGTAACAATAAACCATTAATTTAAATACCACCAACTTATTTTCTATAATTTTTTAAAATAAAAAAATATATTTAAAATTTAAAAAAGTGCAATCTATCTTCAATAATTTCTTATTCTTATATTATTAGAATTTTAATGAAATAGAAATAGGTTAAAAAAACTCTAAAATATTAAAAAAAAAATACTGAATTTAAAAAATAGAGATCTTTAATTTATTCATTTATCAAATTACATGTATAATAAAAATTACAAGGTACTCGTACAGTATAACGAGATACATTTTGATTTTAATGTTTCATTTGATGTTATAATATAGTTTTGTATGGTTTTGAGAAAACAATAATGTTTTTATTTTTAAATAAGATATAAACATGAAGATATCATAAAAATTGAAAAAAAAATATTGATATTAGTACGAAAGTAACTATTTCGTTTTTTGTATATTTTTTATTTAATAATATATTTTATAAAGATAATAATCAAATATTTTGTTAGATATCAATAATTATCCTAATTATATTTTAATTTTTTTATATTTAAAATGAAATGTTTATCTGTAGTTAGTTACACAGATTCAAATATAAAGTTTTAATAAGTTATACTAACACACAATTTGCCTGTAATCTTAAAGTTTAAGTAATATATAACAATAAACAATATTTCATACATAAAAAATGAATTTTAAAACTTTTTATCAAATATTTTATAATATAATATATATTTACTCTGATTAATTATTTATAAAATTTCATTTATAATTAAAATAATACTTATTTAGGAAACAATATTATAATTTCCACAGACCTTTTCAAACTGAAATGGCCGGCGGTTGTCTTTTAAGCTTGACCCATCGATTCCACAATTTATACAAAATAATTAATTATATAATTAGTATAAAAAATCATTAATTATATATTTCCAAAAATGCCCACACAGTCTGTGTTTTTGTGTAGTTTCTTATGCTTCTTCTTCCATTCTCTTCGAATATTACACAAAAATTCCATAAAAACCAGTTCCCATAAATCATATAATCTTCCAAAAACGTAATTCGCATTTCAGCAAAAATTTCTTCACAGAAACCCGTTTTGATGCTATAGAAATGATCTGGATTCTGTTTGTTTTCTTGTTTCTTGATCATGGTGTTTCGGCCACCGATGAATGTGTTCTCGATATCCGACTTTCTTCGAGCTGCGAAACCGCCAATTGGGACGGGTTTTTTAGCAGCGAATGTTGTGAATCGGCCTTCGAAGAATATCTGTTTGCATTAGCAAACCATTCGAATCAAACGGGGTCGGTTTTCTTGAATTCCAGCCAACAAGAAAGTTGTCGGTCTTTGTTGGAAGGTAGCAACGGCAGAAATCTTCTGAGCTGCGGTGTCGAGAAGCTAGCCATGGGCTCAGGCGGCTGCTCAGACTTTTCGCTAAACGATGTGGATAACAAGCTTGAAAGCTCGTTAACTGGTTTGGATCAAGATTGTGAGTTTTCAGAATCAAGAAACGGGTGTGGTTCTTGTTACGAAAGATGGCGGAAGATTGGTGCTTTGGCTATGAATGGTAGCGTGGAAGAGACGGAAATTTGTCGATTTGCCGTGCTTGTTTCGATGGTGAGCCGAAAGATTTCCGACCGCAAATGGGTTCAGAGAGTTTACGAGTGTCTTGGCCAGCATCAAAGAGTTGGATTAGATCAATCCCAAAATCTTGAAGACGATCATCATGCACACAAGAAAAGGTTGAGCACAGGTGAGATATATAACTCCTCAACACATCTTCAGGTTTAAAATCGATTTTGTAAGACGTCAAATATGTCTAAGGGGCCGTTTACCAAACGCTTACCCGGATAAACGCTTACCATGTCACATTACTTTACCGGATGAATAAGGTAAATACCAAAAATCTTATCCGACACTACAACAAAATTGGGTTAATAGGACACCCTCAATCTCTAAGTGTCCCAATAGACCGTTTTATAGAACTTAATTTATAGGACCAAAATATAAAGTGTCCTATCTAAAGGTTTTGTAATAAGTTTGTATGACGTTTTGTGCGTCTTAACAAGTTTTTTAGAACATTTTTAATATAAAGTGTCGCATTAGCAACTTTATAGGATACTTTCGAGAAATTGTCATATAAACTCAATTTTTTATAGGACATTTGTTTTTATAGGACAAATTTTCAAATAGTGTCATATAAAGTTGTTAATGAGACGCTTTATATTAAAAGGGTCCTAAAAAACTTATTACGACATCAAAAAAAGTCATATAAACTTATTACAATGCTTTTAGATAGAACACTTTGTTTTTTTGGTCCTATAAACTAAGTCTTATAAAGAGGTTTATTAGGATAAACCCGATTTTGTTGTAGTGCGGTAAGAGGGAGACAAGGACCGAAAGTCTTACCCGGTAAGTGAGGGTGACGACTCTTACCATGGTAAGAGTTTACCGGGTAAATTGTTGTATACGGTGCCGTTTTGGTAAACTAAAATCTTACTCGGTAAGTAAAAGGTAGTGTTAAATTTTATTGATAATCGCTTACCGGGTAAGTGTTTGGTAAACGACCCCTAATTAAATGTCCTAAAAAGTGTGTTATACGACCAGAAAATCATGTGTACTATGTAAAAATGTTATAACAAAATTGACAAGACGTCCAATAAGTTTTAATAACAAGACTAATTAAATATCAAGACAAAAAGAGAAGGTTAAAGGAAGATTCATATATGAATCAATGAAAATATCTTAAAAAATGTATTTAAAGATGCATATGGTTGTCTTATAGCTTATTCACATGGGTTAGCATATGCATCTTTAAATTGATATTAATTTCAATTATTCACGTGTGAATTAATCTTTCTTAACCTTCATATCAGTTCAAGAAATTTAGTCTTCTTATTTTGAAATTCCAACAACAATTCTATGATAAAAATATGTATTCATCAGTGTCGTATTAAAAAGCTTACGGGAATTTTACTTCAAAAGATATATAAAAAATTGTTAACATGTTACAAAAACATCCTATTAACTTATTGTAACACAAAGGGGTTTTTTGTTTGATTTTCCATTAAGTTCTGTATTGATAAGAAAATATAGGTGGATTAACTTATATATATAGATTGAGAAGGTTTTTGTTTGACAGAGTTTTTTTATAGATGAAAGAAACATGTTTTTTTTAATTTGAAAATGCAAGTTTGGAATTTGTTTGGCATTCTGTATAAAACTCCCTTCTAGAAGCTTATCGAATAAACCATTTTCTATATCATTAAGTCGCTACCAAACAGTCATGTATAAAACTACGAGTGTCATTAAGCTACTAACAAACAAATAAGAAATATATTTTTTGTTCTATAAAGCTTTATATTATCTGATAATATATTGAAACTTTCAGGAATATGGATTCTAATAGCAGGTTTGGTCGGAATCATGATTACAGTAATCACGGCGTTGTGGTTTTGGTTTAGACGATCGGCCAAAGAAAAGTTACCGGCCGGAAAAGAGGCGATTTCCATCATAGATTCACCGTTTCCGATAGATTCAAGCCGGAAGTTAACAATTAAGGAAGTCTATACTGCTACAGACAATCTTAAAGCATCCAACTTCATCGGAGAAGGAATCGCTGGTAAGAATTAACAAAATTAGTTTTACAAAATGTAACATGTGTGGATAAAACTGTGGGATTAATGTGTCTGTATAGATCGGGAAGACCTTTGTTTGTGAGGCTTTTTTCCATACATGGAAGGAACATGTTTTTAATTGGGGGGAGTGAGTTCGGAAAAAAGTTAGGCTTTCTGCATAAAGTTTCCTTAGAAACTTACTGAATAAGTCAATTTCTATATAATTAAGTCCCTACCAAACAGTCATATATAGCCGGCTTAACAAGTGTGAGTCCATTAAGCTGCTAAAAACAAGCCTAAATGAGTAAATATCTTAATAGACTTTTTGAAAGGACTAAACTTTAAAAGACCGAACAATTGTATGTACTATATACACATGTTACAATACATTGATAATATGTTTTTAGTCGTTCTAACAAAACTTTTAGGAAAATTTTGAAATTAGATGGTTCTCGATTTCGATTCGGTCAGTTTTAATTTGTGCAGGAAAAGTGTACAAAGGCGTACTCGCGAACGGTCAGGATGTTGCCATCAAGCATATAGTGAACGATGGAGAAATGGAAACGTTCGTTAGAGAAATCACAAACTTATCTCGTGTACGACATCCGAATCTTGTACGATTGCTCGATCATTGCGAGGGTGAAAACGAGTGTTTTCTTGTTTACGAGCTTTGTCATTGGGGAAACCTCTCGGAATGGTTGTTTAGTAAAGATAAGATTCTAACATGGATCCAACGGCTTCAAATCGCCATCGATTGTGCCCGAGGACTATGGTTTCTTCATACATACCCTGCCGGATGCATAGTTCATCGTGATATCAAGGTACGTTAACCATTTTGATGTCGGTTTTTAGCTTTGATTGTGATTCTAATGTTTGATTTAACGAAATTTTTGGCAGCCGACGAACATTCTCCTAAACATGAACTTTCAAGCGAAGCTAGCCGATTTTGGTTTGTCAAAAATCATCGACACGGGTCTATCTCATGTTAGCTCGGAAGTCCGAGGAACGTTTGGTTATGTGGATCCCGAATACCAGAAAAATAGTCGGGTTAATCCATCGGGTGATGTTTACAGCTTCGGTATAGTGCTTTTACAGCTTCTTTCGGGCCAACGCGTAATCAATATCGACTTGCAACGGCCAATGCCTCTTGGGAAGATGGTAAACAATCTTCCGATCGTCAAACTTATTGATTCGTTTTAAGGATTCCGCTTAACCAATTTTTCGTTTACTGACGATTAGGCAAGGACGCTAACGAGGGGTGGGAGTATGACGGAGTTTGCCGATCCAAAACTTAACGGGGATTACTCGTTGAAGGCTTTCGAGTCTATGATCAACCTAGCACTTTCGTGTATCGGGACAAAGCAACAACGACCATTGGTCGAACAAGTGGTTGTAGGCCTCGAAAAGGCTCTCGATATGTCGATACGAGATCGATCGGTTACACCGGCATTTTCGTCAGACACATTCTAGGCCAAGAAGCTTGTATACTTAATTTCGTTATTCACAAGGAGAAAAAAAGAATCATAAATACAATCATGAGTTTTTCGCTATAGCTTCAGATAAAAAATAACAGAAGCTAAGGCTGTTATGACATTAGCTCTTGAAAAAACCGAGCTAATGTCAAGGAATTACAAAATATACAAGTTACCAAACATCTACAAACCGTTCTTGAAAATGAACGGGGCGTCTCGTGCCAGAAGACGTGTTTTTTTCATTGAATTCATGTAAAATTTTGATCAATGAACTCGCCTTCTTGCTGGCACGAGAACCGCCTTCGGTGAGTAGGGAATATAACGGTCCCATCAGAGCCGAGTTCGATACTAAAACCCGAACAACATCGGCCCCGCCATTTGTACACATTGCAAGCAGCAATGCAACACAATATTCTCTTGATGCCCTCGATGTCGTAGAACCTACGACGTCGAGTATCACATGTAGAGCTCCACAGCTCATAATCGCCATCGTTCCATCTGGTTTTTCAGCGAGAGTGGCTAAAATGGCCAGAGAATCTATTACAAGATCTTCGCATTGAGACGAAGATCGTAATAGATCGACTAGTAGCGGAACAATCCCTGCTGCTAGTGCCTTCCAATGGTTTTCGGGGTACATTAGTAGCCCGAAAATCGCCACCAATGCGTTCTTTTTGCCTCGTTCCGTACCTTCCAGTACCAAATCCATTAGAACAGGAATTGATCTCGGTATTTTCCCGATGATGTCCCGATACTCGTCCACTGAAGCGAGATAAAATAAAGTACCTGCCGCGTGTTGTCGGGCTTCCATTTTCATCCCGTTTTGTACAACCTCGAGAATTAGTTCTAATCCTCCATTTTCGACAAGTACTTTCTTTGTCTTTGAGTACTTTGAGAGATTCAGTAACGCTGCGATTGCGTTTTCTTGAATCTTTGGGTTCTTAACGCAAAGCAAATCTAATAAGCTCGGAACCACACTGGCTTCAACCAAACAAGCCCGATTAAAAACGCTTGTTTTACTAAGCAATCGGACCTCAAAAGTAGCTTTGTGTTTGGCCTCATTCGTGCCAAACACCAGGCGCTCGACTAGAAAGTCGACCGCCATCTTTATGGCAGCCTCTTCCGCCACACTGCCACCTGTCGTCGAATCGATAATCTCCCGATTGCGGGAGCTACCGACATATTCTGCAACAGAAATCCCCTTCTCGAGATGATATTGCTTAATAACGCTTCTTAAACACGAATTCGAAACTAAATTACCACTATTCACCTTCTCCCCGGTCTTCGGACAAGTTGAATTTCCCAACCGAAACCATCTCTCTATCGAAGAACGGTCGTAGGTGTGCCCGGTGGTTAGAGTCACCGGATCCGACATGATCTCTAGAGAAATCGGGCATCGAAAATCTTCAACGTTCAGGGACCCAATTGAATGATTGCAACTCCAGCTATGACTGTCGCCGGAAATTGGGATTTTCTCGCCGTCGACGGTGGTGAAAATGGTGCACCGGCTGTAAATCATCAGCCCCATCAAACTACTAAGAATATCCAGGTCCAATTTCTTAGTGGTGGATCTTTCCGACCCGATTTCAGAATCCAAGAACTTGATTTCTTTGTTGCATTGGGACCAGCTCGAAATACCCAAATAATCAAGAACCCGTCTCAGATTATTCGGATCAGGAGTTGTTTGATGCTCCAATTGCTTCAAAATGGATCTAAGATGCTCCAAGATCCGTTTATCTTCGGGTCGGAACACAACTTTCGAATCGAAACCTTGATTCTTCACAAGACCCACCAATTCTTTCAGTTCTATAGAAACATCAATTGAATCTAATGGCAACACATCTAGAGCTACACTAATGGATCGGAAAATGGATCGAAATTGATTGGATACGTTTTCGGATTTAACCAACATCCATACCCGACCGTCAACACGAGTACAGTCTTCCAACAAGAAACTCAGCTTCTGAAACACGAAATGGAGCTCCGAAAGTGAGAGAAACATCGCCGACGACAAACCCGGTTCATCTCGTCGGATCTCTTCGAAAAAAACGTGGAGATTTCCGACAAGACGAAGTGAAACCTTCGCGTTTACAGCATTACTGTAAAAGGGTTTAGATTTGTACGAAGATATGACGTCGGAAAGGGTGATCAGAGAAGAAAGAAGGGTCGCCGAAGAAACCGATTCGCATGGACGAATCGCCGGAGAGGTTAAAATCCGGCGAGTTTGTGCATCATACATATTGATCGTTAAAGAAAAGCGAAAAATCGATGATAAAAACAAATTAAAAGTAGGTTTATAAGGATTTACAGAAAGATTTGAGGGGAAAAGTGGGTTTTTGGATTAGATTTGGAGAGGGGTTTGAGATTTTGTTTTTTTCTTTGGGGTAATTGCATGGATTTAGAGATCGGGTTATGGGTGTATATATAGATGGGTGTTCGTTGAATGTGTGGTGGACACGTGTTGAGATACTATAGGGTAGTTGAATTTTATAGGACGTAGATCTAACGTTGAAGACAGGGACCACGTGGAACTGCATGGGTGTGAAGAAAAGGCGGCTTCGTGGGTGGTTCGAGGTTTCAATGCAATTGATGAAGGGTATGTGACATGGGATACCGACAAATTATAATTTCCGAAAAACGTATTCCACGTAAAATAAAATGAAAATTTTATTTCATCTTTTAGCTACTCTGTAAGTTGGGAAGTTTTCATTTACGGATATTAAAAATATCTGGAGAGAAATGATTAAGAAATGAATCTGGTTCCTAAAAATGGTTATTTTCCTGAATTTGATGAGGGTAAATATTAATACATATGTGGCGTTTGTTTTTTAATAGATGCTGAAGTGTGGAGTCTTATTTCACTTTTAATTTACAAGAGGTGGTCTCGACGTATGAAATCTGAATCAATAAGACTGTTTGTTTTTGAAACCTGATAAACGTCTGAATTCGTTTAAATCGTCTATTTTACCTACTAAAAAATTCTATTGTTGAATTTATAAATAAATTTTATATAGTTTCACACGTTTATTCATCATTATTACGAAATCTACATCTAAATTATATAATTATTATTCATTTAAAAGAAAATATGTCATTAACGCATTTAACATGTTTAAAGTCTATTAAAATATATCAATTGAGAGACGTGATGATTGATTTGGTAAGGATTAATTGAGAGAAATTATCGATTCAGGTTAATCGATTGAGAACGTTATTGTTGAGGATTTGAAAAACATTAATAGACAAATAAAATGGTTGGTTACCTTTTTCCAGATAAGAGGACAATAAAACATAAGTGCCTCTAAAAAATTGAAAAAACCAAACAATCTGAATGACCTTACATCTTAAAAAAATCAGATATAAAAAGCTGATAAAAGTTTTTTTTATTAAAAAACAAACAATACCATGATATTTATGGTATTTAGTTTGTCTATAATGTTTAGTTATTTATTTTATCAATATAAGTTTTATAATTATTGATATGACAGTTTCATCAAATTAAAGCATCTCCAATGCAATATTTTTATAAACAATGTATTTTTTTTATGAGAATCAATATTATAAAGGGTTTTGATAAGGAACTCATATTCTTTTAGTTTTTATATAAGAACCTTGCTTCGTACCTTGAATTTGATGTAAAGTGACAAAATTTGTTAGTGTGTGTGTATATATATATATATATATATAGGCAAATATTGCATGAGAAGAGAAGTTATGATGATAAGCGTAAGAAGAGATTCAAATTCTTGATCACTTTTAATTTCATGTTCACCCATGAATTGCACTTTAGAAAAGAATTGTTCTCATTAGTATTGACATTCAATTATGATTGATTCAATGGTGAAGATCTCTTCTTATGTTTCTCACCATAGTTTCCCTTCTCAATAGAATCCAATCTTATTTATTTAACTTATACTAGAAGAGTGCTCGTGCAATGCAGCAAGACACATCTCGATTCTAATGTTTAATTTTATTATTTGTCCCTGTCGATATTATAGTACGATTTTATGTGTTTTTAATAAAGTATTAATGATTTTATTTTTGAATAAAGTATAAATTTGAAGATATTATAAAAAATTGAAAAAAAATATATCAATGTTAATATCAAATCAACTATTTAAAAATTCTCATTTTTTATGTAAATTCTTTAATTTATTTTTTTAATTATAATTTAATTTAAGTTTAATAACGAAATAATTTAATTTTGGTTTAATAATATAACATTTTATAAAAATAATAATTAAGTATTCTGTTAGACTCAATCATTATCCTAATTATCTTTTAAATTTTTTATATTTAAAATGAGGTGTTTATCATGTATTTAATTATGTTTATCTGCAGTTAATTACACAAATTCAGATTTTAAGCTTTAATAAGTTGTATTTATGCATAATCTACTTGCAATCTTGAGTTTTAAGTAATACGCATTAATAAACAGTATTTTACGCATAAAAAATAATTTTTAAGAGTTTTTATCAAATGTTTTATAATATAGTATAGATTATACATGGGACCCACAAAATAATTCTTATAAAAACTATCATTTTATAGTTTTTTGTAGGTTATTAATTAATGAGTTATATATATATATATTCTCATAAGAAGCCGCGTCAAAAATGGTCTTATATGTACATAATATAAAAACTTGAAATAAAATAATAAATGACTTGTTATATTTATTATAAATGGGGGTAAACCCTTGAAGCATCCTGGGTCGTGCCCAGTTAACATTTATTATTAAATATTAATATTAACATGATATATGCATGAATAATTGAATGTGAAATGAAGAAATTAATTAATAATAGAACTGGAAATATATATATATATATATATATATATATATATATATATAGTTTTTACAAATTGAAGTGGTTTTCATTTGATCGCTCCTTTATATATATATATATAGACTTGGGATCATGTGAGACCAATGGTTTTTCGTGAGATCCGTAAGACCAATTCACAACCTTTGGATTAGTTCTATAATATGAAAATCTAAACACTCATAAATGCCACGAGACTTCTCAATAATCACAAAATTGTCATCGTGCAATTTAAACCATTAGATCATTCACTTATAAAGTTGATCAATGAATATAAATTAGTTTTACGGGTTTTACGAAAAAACTTTGGTCTCACGTGAACACAACCCTATATGTATATACATACACATGTATATATATATACATATACATATACATATATATATACATATATATATATACATATATATGTATATATATATATGTATATATATATATATATAAAAAGAAGTCAGAGGTATCTGTGAGAAGTAAGAAGCATCCTGTCCAGCTAATTTTTGAATTTTTGGGCATATTTAAGGACCAATAATTAGATTAATAATAAATAAATAATTTAGGATGTAAATCTGTGCATGATTAAACACGTTACGAGTAGAAATTATTGGATTTGAATTAAGAATTATATATATATATATATATATATACTAGAATAATACTCGTGCGATGTATCGATATATATTTCCATTTCAATGTTTCGTTTTATTTTCTATTCATGTCCATATAATACGATTTTATGTGTTTTTGAGAAAACGATAATGTTTTTATTTTTTATTCATGTCTACAACCCTCAAGCGACGGCGCAAAAAGCAAGAGTCTGGGAGGATCTTAGCTCGGTGATCCTGAGTGCCTCAAATGTTATATGGATTTTATTGGGGGATTTCAATGCGGTTCGTTTTCCTGAAGAAAGAATGGGATCAACTTTTGACTCTAAAGAGGCTTCAATTTTCAACTGTTTTATTTCCTCCTCTGGGCTCCTCGATATCTCTTTCTGYGGCAGACGTTTCACCAGATTTAGCAAGGATGGGTCAAAGATGAGTAAGCTTGATCGTTTCCTGGTAACGTCTAACTTTTTCTCTATTTGGAAGGATCCTTCTGTGCAGGTTTTACACAGATCTATTTCCGATCATTGCCCTATTCTTTTGAAAGTTAATGATCTTTCTTTGGGGCCTAAACCATTCAGAGTTTTTGACTCATGGTTGGGTATTGATGATTTTCAAAAAACGGTCCTTTCCTCTTGGTCTTCAAGCTCTTTTCTTGGGGATGCTGATTTCGTCTTAAAGGAGAAGGTAAAAGCTCTTAAAAATGACTTGAGATTGTGGTCAAAAATTTTCTTAGCCAACGAATCAAAAAAGAAAGATGAGATACTCAAAGCGTTGTTTGACTGGGACTCTAAAGCTGAAAAGGGGGGTATTTCAAATGTTGATTGCCAAAAAAGAGACGAATGGATTTTTGATCTGATGCTTTTGGACAATCGAACAATGTTGAATAACCAACAAAAATCGCGTTCCAAATGGGCTTTAGAAGGGGATGAAAATTCCAATTTTTTTCACAATTTAATTAACTTTCGTCGGAGAAGGAAAAACATTAAAGGAATTATTTGCGAAGGTGTTTGGACTTCTGATCCTTTGGTTGTCAAAAGTGTATTCTTACAGCACTCTGCTGACAGATTCAAAGAGCCTTGCTCCTCTAGACCAAAGTTCATCTGTCCTTTTTTTGCTAAACTTTCGGYTTCTGAAGCCGATCTCCTGGAATCGTCTTTTTCCGCTATGGAAATAAAAGAGGCTGTTTGGTCTTGTAATGGGTCGAAAGCTCCAGGGCCTGATGGCCTAAATTTTAATTTCATTAAGAAATTTTGGCCAATGGTTGGCAGGTCTATTTTTTAGGCGGTTAAATTTTTTGAATTTTCGGGCTGGATAACCAAGGGATGCAATGCTTCTTTTATTGCCTTAATTCCCAAAAAAATTGATCCCTTGGACGTCTCGGACTATAGGCCCATATGTTTACTCGGTTGTATGTACAAAATAATTGCTAAGCTTCTAACCAGCAGATTGGTAAAGGTTATGAGCAAGCTCGTCAGTGGCAATCAATCTGCCTACATCCCGGGTAGACAAATGTTGGATGGCTGCTTGATAGCAAATGAGATCGTGAATCATGMCAAAAAAAAGAAAATGCAAATTTTTCTCTTCAAAGTGGATTTTGAAAAGGCTTATGACTCGGTCAACTGGAAGTGTCTCTTTCACACTATGAAGCAAATGGGATTCGGAAATAAATGGATCAACTGGATTAAAGCTTGCTTGAAATCTGCTTCTACRTCCATTTTGATTAATGGAACACCATCCGACGAGTTTCACATGCAAAGGGGTCTAAGACAAGGAGACCCTCTTTCTCCGTTTCTGTTTCTGCTTATAGGCGAAGTCCTACAACTCATGATCAGATCTGCTTGCAACCAGGGGCTGTTTAAGGGCATCCGGCTGGCAAAGTCCAATCGAAATCTTTCTCTCCTTCAATTTGCGGATGACGCTTTAATATTCGGCAAATGGTCGCGTAAGAATTTAGTAACTCTTACTAATATTCTTAATTGCTTTCATGATGTTTCAGGACTGCGGATAAATTTATCCAAATGCAACCTTTTTGGTATTGGAATTCCGGAAGCGGAGGTCAACARCATGGCAGGTATGTTAAAATGCATGGCCTCTTCTTTTCCCTTCACATATCTGGGGCTCCCTGTTGGGGGTAACATGAAGAAAAAAGCTTCATGGTCGGTTGTTAAAGACAAATTCCTCAAGAAACTGTCAAACTGGAAGTCAAAATGCCTTTCCATAGGTGGAAGATTTACTCTGATTCAGTCGGTGCTATCTTCCCTTCCGCTGTTCTACTTCTCGCTCTTCTACTTCTCGCTCTTCAAAGCGCCCAAGCCAATCATCAACAATTTGGAATCCATAAGGAGAAGATTTTTTTGGGGACATAAGGAGGGGGAAAACAAAATGCATTGGGTCGCTTGGGAGAAAATTATGTGCTCAAAGTCAAATGGTGGTTTGGGAATTGTCTGTTTAAAAGTTAAAAATGATGCTTTGTTAGCTAAATGGGTCTGGAGGTTCCTGTCTAGTTCTAATGCCACTTGGAAAGATGTTATTTCTTAATTTTATGGCGAGGATGGAGGTCTCTTTTCTAATAGGCCTTTGGCTGGAAATAGTGTTTGGGTTTCTATAGTCAACACTTGCAGAAATGTGACAGTGGCAAATCARAATGTTATTCAATCGTTTACGAAACAAATTGCTAAAGATTCCAACTCTCTCTTTTGGAATGATGCAAGCATTGGTCAAGGGTCAAAGTTGAAAGATATATTTCCTAGACTTTATGCTTTGGAAAGGGATAAAAACGCCGTCTTCAAAGATAGATGGACTTATTCTAATGGTTCTTGGTCTGGTGTTTGGGACTGGAATACAACGGTTAGAGGAAGAAGCTTAGATGACCTTCTAGCTTTAAAAAGGCAACTCTCTCAAACGCATTTTAATACTTCGGGCGAGGATGTGTGGTCTTGGAATTGGCACAAAAAAGGGATTTTCACGGTAAACCACATGTCAAAGTTAATCCAATGGCTTACTAATTCGAATGGTTCAAGCAACGAACCATGTTTTTGGAGCCCTTTAATTCCGAAGAAGGTAAACATTTTCATTTGACGCTTCCTTAAAGAAGCCATTCCTGTAAGATTTAACCTATCAAAAAGAGGGATTCAGGTACAGTCTTTGSAGTGCATCCTGTGTGAAAAAGGTGTTGAAACAATGGATCATTGTTTCTTTTCTTGTTCGGTGGCAAGCATTCTTTGGAGGAAAATTTGGGCCTGGTGGGATCTTCAAGCTCCACGTCTTTCTTCGGTGGCTGATTTCAAAATGCTAATCAATCAAGTAGGATCTCTTCGCAAGGTTGGTGTGATTTTTTTATCAGTTTGCGCTGTGGCTCTTTGGCATCTTTGGAAGTGGCGGAACGAAATTCYTCATGCTGAGGATGGGGTAAATTCTAAAAAAAAAGATGAAGACCCTTTCCCGTGTATTCAAAACGTCTCGAAGCTTTGGATGGGAATCAGGAATCGTAAATTCCATCTTGATTGGGATGTTTGGTCTTCCTCTCCCTATTTTATTTAGTCTTTGTCTAGTCTTTCCGTTTTGTTTGGGATAGGTTTTCACCTTGGTTTTGTAAGGGGATGTTTTCGTCTTCTTGCCCCTCGTCGTGTATTTGGTATTCTGTACTTTTTTGTATCTAGCTTCTTGCTGGATTCGCTTATGTTTTGTTTAATATTAGTGGTTGGCTTGGTTGAGGGTGATGGCCTTGCCGAAGCTCTCTCCCTTGCCCTTCCTTCTGCCTTTAAAAAAAAAAGGTATCAAATTAACTATTTAAAAGTTCTTGTTTGTATATTTTTTAATTCAAAACTTTTATTATAGTTTAATTTAACGTAATGAAGCAACTTAATTTAGGTTTAATATAATATTTTTATATAAAGATAATAATTAAGTATTCTGTTAGAACTCAATAATTTTCATAATTATATTTTAGATTTTTTATATTTTAAAATGAGATGTTTATCATCTATTTGATTATGTTTATCTGCAATTAGTTACACGAATTCAAACATATAACTTTAATAAGTTGTACTTATGCACAATTTACTTGTAATCTTGAATTTTAAGTAATATGCATCAATAAACAGTACTTCATACATAAAAAATAGTTTTTAAGAGTTTTTGTCAAATGCTTTATGATATAGTATAGATATATCATTTTCAAATGATATCCACATTGTTCACAAAGATTCATTGCAGGGTCACCTTACGTCATTGAACCGATAACCATCTTTCGAAGAAGCAGGGGTCGCGGTAGCTACCGAATCTTTTACTTGTACACGCTAATTCCTGTGGATGTCTATTTGTCGGGCTGTCCACCTAAACCGGTGCCAGTGAAGGAAATGATCTTTACATGGAGATGAAAAAATCTAAAGTAATTGATTAATAAAACTTATAGTGATCAATATAGAGGTGCATTGATGATGGCTACTATATATTTATGGACCGTTTCCTAAATTTTATCGAGAAAATTTAGATCTTTTACTTGCTTTCTCATGTAATATGTTTTATCATCAAAATAACATGATGTAAGGATCACTTATCTAGTATTGACTACGTAAGAATTATCACCCATACTAGTATATTATCGTTTAGTAAAACAACACAAAAAATTTGTAAAAATTATCATCTTTTACCTGATATAAGACGAATGGAGTATTTGATTAGATTTATTAAGCAGTAAGAATGAGGATGAAAAATAAAGAAATTGTTTAGTTTTACATAATATAATTAGCTTATTCTCCCATAAGCCCAAATTTTTATTCCAGGTTAAATTGGAAGAATGAAAATCATTCTTTGTCATTTTCATTCCTTAGTTTGAGTCCATTAGTGTATATATACACATATTTGAGTCATCGAGTACATATTAAGGTGTAATAATCGAGTAGATAACTGTACATAAGTTCGATCTAACCCGGACTTTGATCATGGTTGTAAATGAGTACGTAGGATTGGCATGTCTTGTGGATTAAAGGGTCCCCAAAAAACTGATTAAACTGACAACACATCCATCCAATCAAAACTGAAAAAGAAAACGACTAATCCAACTCAATCTAACTCGATGATTAATTGATTTATAAAATATACAAGTGTCAGTTATATTTCAGGGTGGGTTATAAATCAAAAGAATTGGTTAAAAGAGAGAATTTTCCAAACCAATTATTCGGATTGGGTTGCTCAAATGACCTCAAACTACCCCTTGAATCGATCCGTGTGTGTGTGTGTGTATATATATATATATAATAATTAGTATTTTTTGATCATTAAAACAATGACTCCGATGTGCTCCATTAACAAACACTTTCTTTGTTGAGAAGCTTCCACCCTGCACCTGCATGCGTGCTTCCCCAGAAGGAGGCACACATTGTAACAATTCATCGCGTCGTGGCACAAAACAAAAGGATCGGTCTTTCACTCGCTGATCGTTCGCGAGTCGAACTCGCTCTCTTGCCACGCCTTTCACTCACTCACTTGAGTGGGGTTAAGATGAAATTATGAATTAAGTAACCACGTACCATCAGAAAAGAAGGCGACTTTCCCTCTTTGTAAGTATGGTCATCAGCTTCAAAATTCAGTAATTAACATAACTTTCAATACTTTCGGCTTACATAAAAACAACACATTCATATTAGTTCCTCTTGATCTTTGAAAACGTTCCTGTTTCTGAGAAGTATGTGCTCTGAGTTCCACTTCCAAGTCTATTTGCATCTGCCTGTGGATCTATCAGATCAATTCCCTGCATGCGTTTTCAAATTTTAACTTTTCCACATTTCTAACTTCCCGGATGCAATAACTCCCTAAAAACCAACCCAACAAAAACAAGTTCAGTATATCCCGTAACAAAGAAAACAAACCTGCACAGGTGTGAAAGCCAAACTTGAAGTCAATCCCGAGGTAGCCCCTCCACTACTATACTGCTTATCCTTGAACCTGAACGTTCAAATATCAATATGAATCGTATTCTACAACTTCAACAAAAAAAACTCTAATTCCTAAAGATGGTGAAGTTTCCAAGACCGAAAAAGAAACAAAACCAAGATTGCATTTGGTACACTAAAAAGAAACAAAAACATGATTGCATTTGGTACATTAGACAGATAAAACATAACAAAACATGGATCATTGTTTCACATTTGGCAAGACTTTCATGTGGAACAGACCAGTAATGGCAGTTGAATATATTGCCTGTGCATTTGGTACAGGCGTGTTCCACCCCCGCCCTATGGAACAAGGTGGAACCTAATAATTTTCCAATATAACCTCAAAATAAAACCTAATAGCGAGAGTATGGTCCAGGAAAGTAGGGTATACGGAGGATAGGATGTAGGCAGACTTTACCTCTACCCCAAGGGGTGTAAAAAAGTTTTAAGAAAAAAACTTGCACAAAAGTATTGGTTCCAAAAGATTTAGCGGACGATATGCAAATTCTAAGAAAACAATTCAAGAAAGATTAAAATAATCTAAAAGCATACTTCTTGGCGACTTTGGCAGCAAGCTTGCTCTGACCGACTGATACACGCAACTTCCCATTTCCAGCCTGACCAAGCATACCATAACCTTCTCCTAGTCCATCCCCTGTTATCAAAAGAATGTTATTATCACAACTAAAAACAACAAATGTATATCTTAAAGCGGGCTGATAATAATTTTAATCTGTACTCTAGATTCAGTAAAGGCCAACCGGTAACAATGAAACTTAGGGCCTGCTTGTTAGCAGCTTAATGAGCTTAATGGACTCGCAGCTTATTTGTTCAGCTATACGTGACTGTTTGGTAGTGGCTTAATGATATAGAGTGTGGCGTATTCAGTAAGCTTCTAGGGATGAGCTTTATGCAGAAAGCCAAGCTTTTTCCAAACCTGTCCCTCTTAATTAAAAAACACGCTCCTTCCATCTATGAAAAAAACATTCCCAAACAAAAATCTTTCCAATCTAAACAGACATTAATCCACTCGGACTGCATTACCCACACAGAACTCGATGAAAAAACAACCAAACATCCCTTAGACCAGCAACACTAATCATGCGGATAGCAGTAACACTACATATAGACTACCATATGCTTATAACAAACCATTAGCCATAAGTAGATCAACGAACAAAAAAGATTATTTACCCAATGAACTTTCTTCAGGCACTCCAAACTGCATTCTGTTTGCTAGTTTCCGCATGTCCGTAATAGCATATCTGATTAAAAGGTGAAAAAACATCAACAATAGCTATTAAAATAGTAAAACTAACCTTTCTATCTTCTGATTTCCACTATAACTGTCTATAAAGTGGAGCACACACCTCTCTTTCAATTTTCGAAGGCGACGACCACCTCTTTTCTTCTTAGGTTCAGAATCAGGAACGGGGAGTGGTTTAGGTTGCTTTGCAGGAGGTGGCTCTTGCCACTTCTCAATCTTCTTATGAACCTCTTCACGATATGTTCTCCCTTGCTTTCCAGATGGATCACCTCTTGTACAGTCTACACGTGCTGCAAGTGTTGTTTTTGCAGCCAAAAGCCGGCAGGCACGCATCTTGAGAGCAGGAGGTGTAGTCTGAAAAACCTCTGTTTGATCAAGGTAACCAACATGAAATTGGGATGTCGCTGTGGAAAAACCTGCTAAGTTCTTCTTCTTGGCACCTAGAAGCTGAACATTACAAGCTGGCATCTTTGATAGTGAGGACAGACCACCAGCAGTCCCCATTAATTTTGCAGCAACCGCACTGCCAACAATAGCAGAAACGTTTGGTGCAATGTACCCCATTCTGCTTTCAACGAAATCAAGAACTTTCTTCTTGGCTGCATCCAACGTAAGGGCTCTATCACAAGCCTCGATTGTCTTCTGAAGGACATCCTCTGGAAGAGGCTTGCCGCTGGTGGTTGATGCTGTAACAGAAATCACCATGATGATGGCCGATGGCAACAGCCCTTCCAAATCCACAAGGGTCAAGTCAACTTCATTCCCTATCTTCTTCACCACACGTGCATAATCGATTGGGTGGTGAACAAGAGATTCGAGCTCTGGAAATTTGAGGCGGTATTTATCACGAATGAAATTATGGATGATAACGATCTCATTTTCTATGTCAACCGACAATGTGTTACACTCCACGATCAGCTGGTACTCTGGATCATCTTCCAAAACCAAGCTTTGATTTGAAATATCTGACCCTTTCTCAAGAGCATCCTCAACTTTCTGCCCCATGAACATATTAATAATATTATTCGTTTTATCCACCCAGAAAAAGTGCATGAAATTTCTTAATTCTTGAAAATATACTTAATTGAAACACTAATAACTATGGATGTCAGAAAACAGAGGGAGATGAACTTGTAAAAAACGCTAGACTGGTTTGGCATCAAGAGATAAGAAGTTACACTCCATAGACAAATAGTATTTTCTGTGAGGTCTACAAAAATATGCTTGCAAAGTTACACTCCATGACACAAAGAATGGAACAACAATGTAGACCATGGATATGATGAATTCTAATTGGTGCTTCGAGGCATATCCTATCAAGAAATAGTCTTCACGTCTATGTTTTTAATCGCGCCGCTATAGCGGTGCTATCGCGGTGCAATAGTGGTTACCAGTCTTGGAATAATAGCGGTCGAAATAGCGGTCCTGCTATTATCGCAGCTAAAAACTGCTATTTAGCTGTTATTTGGTTTCAAAATAGCAGAAATAGCGGTGCTATAGCCGTTATTTGCTAAAACCGGTAGTCTTTTCACTTTTATCTTCTTTGGTTCTTCCAAGTTCCACCATGAGGATCGCAATAAGCTTTTTTAGGTTCTTATACCTTCCACAAGTACAAAGACAAGGTTTCTTTTGGTTCTTCCACTGTTTCACGAGGAAAACAGTCAACGGGTTTGCTAACCAGCCTTTTGAACCTACAACTTCTGTTTTAACAGTCAACGGGTTCAAGAATTATACAAACTCTTTTGCTATTTTATCTGTGTAAAGCTCGATTTGTTTAAGTTGATGTTTTGATGTTTAAACTGTATACTCTTTGTTGAACACATACACTATAATAAGTATCATATATATATATATATATATATATATATATATACATATATGTGCATGAGTGTGTGTGTACATATAATTATAATTATTTTATGGAGCGCTTTCGCTATATCAAATCATGGTAGTGACCGTTATTTTGAATTTTGACCGTTGTAACGATTGTCACGTCAATCAAGTCAACTAAATTCCACTGACCTTCATAATATCTGTATATCGTTGTGTTTTCTGTAACTTAGAAACACTATCCAGATCATCGTAATTGAGCACTTCTATATCAGCCAAATCTCTATTAATATCCTCTTCCATGTGCTCTGCATCCCCATTGTCTTCATCCTATCAAGCATAAAAAAGAGAAGAATCATTGGTCCGCAAGTTCTGTAATACTGAGAAACAAAGTAAATGAAAATAAATAAACGTTTTAAGAAAGACATGACTGATCGCTAAAGTTAAGAATAACAATTCCAATTTCCGTTACATAACACAATGTAACATGTAAGAATGTGACAGCCCACTACACTCACCAAGTTTTCATTGTCATTGTCTGAGAGGTCCTCAAGATCTGCCAGAAAAGAATCTTCAAGATTTGCCTGAAAAAAGAACATACATCTTACAGTTGACTAAACAAAAAACATATTGCAATCGGTAAAAAATCTGAATACAAATATTCTACGACTAAATTTTCCTGTTCTGTTTCCAATCTATTTAATTATCAAACGACTAAGCTCTCATATCACAGGCAATATATTCAACTGCCACTGAGAGCAGTCTTCTTATAGATAAGAAGAGTTTCCATAATTTTGATTCAAGTTGTAGTCCAGGTGAACTCATGTGTCTTCCCTCTTCAGTCGTTAGTAACACCAAAAAAGCACATACACACTTGCAAATGCACAATGGTATGTGAGAAAAACACAAGAGCTACTACAAGGGGGTTTCAAGAGATGGATAGTTGGTTACCATTATTTGCTGGAAGGGTGCAGCTCAGATGTCAAAATCAAACTCAGAAACTCAGCTACTTCAAATTCTGTCCACAATAAGAATTCAAACCAGGGGGTTAAAGCAAGTTAAATGCAATAAAATTTAAATAGCAGAAAGGGAATCACCAATCAATTCCCTTGTTCTAGTGTGTGTGTGGCAGACCTGGGACTTAAAGTGCGATGCTCACTCATGTCAAATAAATAGGGCTATTTTGATATAAGCAGCGATGGAGCCAGGATTTGGTACCAGAGAGAGCACCGAACGTAGATAAATAAATATTAAGATTCTGAACGGCCATGGATCATTCACATAGACGGTAATCAAGTATTCAAGTATTCTGTATATGTTATTAGGTAAATTATGTAATCAACCAGAAAATGAGTAATCACCGCTCAACATACAACAACAACAATACAGGTGTGAAGCAATTTCGTATTTTCATATAATCAACCAATCAAGTAAAACCTAGTGAGTTGTGATTTTCAATACTCAACAGCGGTGGAACAATTTCATTCATTATTTATGCACAAAACCTAATGAATTCGAAAGCCTAACCTGAATATAAAGCGGAGAAGGCAGAATCTGAGAGCTGCGGTGGTCCGGCGGACGTCCAGAAGAGGAGAGAGGGAGCAGTCGGCGATGAGTGATCAGATGAGGAACCTCGGTGGAGCTTGAATTCCTTCGTGAATTCGTTAATCGTGAAAGGCTGTGTGAATCCTTAGGTAATAATATAACATGCGCCAATGGATCATGGATCCGATTCAAAACCAGCTTCAGTAAATGGGCCAAGAACATGGTGTAACCTGTTTTTTAGTGGGCCAGAGGAGCCCAGCTCATAAACGCATCAACTATGGTTAAGTTAAACTAGCCCGGAGCCCAGCCCGAAAAAGAGCCGATACCTATCGTGCACGAAGCTCAGTTCAATACAGGTCTCAAAGCTCGATCATGTCGAAATTTTTGAGGTAGCCCCAAGCATAAGCTCGCTTGAAAAATTCTGATTAAGTTCGAAAAAGCCCAATCGAGCTTTTTTTCCAACTCCAAGTCCGGCTCAACCCAAACTGTCAACAAGAAGTTTTTTTCTGGGTTTCAACGAAAACGAGAAATAAAACACTCGACAATCCTTAATCAAACAGTTATGTATTCACAATTTTAGTAGCTTGGAATAAAAACTTAAAACTCAAATGTACGATATAATTTGATTGTATCGACGAGAGCTCAATTGTCCCAATCGGTGATATCTCTGTTTTCTGTTAAGCGTAAGTGTTCGAGACATATTACATACATCTTAAATAATCTCAGAAGAATTAAAAAACAATCAAAAAAATCTCCAATAATCTTACAAGAATTGAACCGATATATTCCCATAAGTTTTGAGAATATATTACTTGTGACACACTTTTTCATATGCATGTCGGCATGGTTTGTATTTTCACTTTGTGGCTAGTTGTTATAAATTTTTCAAATTTGCCACACAAGTCTCTAAATTTATTAGTTTGACCATGTATTTCAGAAATTTTAACATATTCAAGTTAAGTTCCCCTATACTTTGGCTTCCTTTATAGTATTTTTTTGATTATATCTCATTTTTATTAGTTATTATTTGTTTTTTCATGTTTAAAAGACAAATATAAAAGAAACTATTTATTATTTAATTTTCATATTCAAAATGAAAATAACGGGATTATAACAAATACCTGTGATCGTCATTTGATTTTGAAAATAAACTATGAGTAATAAAAAGGATGCATTCCTTTTGTTTGACTATTTCGTTGTACTTTACTATTGATTTGTTAATAATATCAAGAGAAAGTTGGTATATTCCTTTCATTTTTTACGTGTAAAAATTTATTCGTTCAAAAAAACGTGCAATCAATTAATTGCTCAAAATATGAAACTTAGCTAGATTTTTTTAAGGTTTCACTAAGGGGCCGTTTACCAACCGCTTATTGGGTAAGCGCTTACTGTATGCCATTTACCTTCCGGATAAGCATTGCAAGGACCTAGACTCTTACTCGGTAAGAGGCAGAGTAAGGGGTCGTTTCCCAAACGCTTACCCGGATAACTTACCAAGTAACATTACATCACTGTATAAATATGGTAAAGAACAAGAATTTTACCCGGTAAGAGCGAGACAAGGACGACGAGTCTTATCCGGTAAATGTAGACGACGACTCTTACCATGGTAAGCGCTTACCGGGTAAATTGTTGCATACGATGTCGTTTTGCTTGACTAAAATCTTACCCAGTAAGTAAATATTAGCGTTAAATTTTACCGGTAAGCACTTACCGGATAAATGTTTGGTAAACGGCCCCTAAGTATCAAGAAATAAAATTCGTATCTAGTAAGCGCTTGTCGAGTAAAAAACTCTCACTAACAATCTGTTTTAATGACCAACACTGTTACCCAATAAAGTAAGTGATGGTAATGATCTTGCTGGTAAACACTTACTCGGTAATGTTTGGTAAACGTCCCCTTAAGTTCGATGATTTATTTGTCTTTAAATACATTTAAAAATTTATTTGTTTGATTCCAATAACTTTGGGAATTTATTTATTTAAAAGATATTCATATTAAAATATAAAAAACTGCGAATATTTAGTTTTGAAAGATTTTACTTTGAGTTGCTATTTATTTGGCTTTTTCTTTATTGTCCTTTTGCATCTCTTTTTTCCCATAATTGATTCTCCCAAATAAATAAATTAAAATCCAAAATTAATATTTTTAGATAATTTCCTGTTATAATTTATACAATTTTCATATATTTTTTTAAATTACAATTTCATATAAAATTTGTTTAAAATTACCAATTTATTAAAAGTTTATTGAATATTAAATATTTAAAAAATATAATTAATATTAAAAATAAAGATCGTTTGAAGTAGTTTTCATTTATGTGGTTTGTTGAAAGTTACAACTCTCGTTGCTGTGTTTTTTTAATTGTGGTGTTATTTATTGTGATTTATAATTTATTGTTGTTTTCATCTATGAGTTTAACTCCAACAATTAATCGTAAACCAATATAAGGAAAAAACTGTAAACCTCAAGGACTAAAACTGCAATTTTTAAAACATAAAGCCAAAAATGATTACTTTTAACAAAGCTGAAGGACTAAAAGAGTAGTTTAAAAAAACCTTTGATAAGGAATATGCACCTTTACATCTCGTGATTTCCTTCAAATATAATAACATATCTTGCATTTTCTATTTTTTAAATACTTTAATATAAATTTTTAAATTTTTATTTGAGAGTTTATATAAAGATTTAATTATTTGAAAACTCCATATGTTACGGTAATTGTGATTTTATTATTAAATATATTATTTCATATGATTTTCTTTTACATTTAAGACTGTAATTTAATATATTGATCGATGTATATTCCTTTCATAATTTGTTTGTTTCATATTTATTCTATTTATAATGTAAATTTTTTAGTTGTGTTTTTTTTATTTTACAAACACATAAAAATGTTGATTTTGTGAAATAAATATATGTTAATTAATACATTAAATCCAAACTGTATATGAAAAAAAATCATGTAAAATAACATATGATACGCTGTTTCTTATGATGTGTTTGGTACAGTGGACATGATAGAACATGGATTCTTGTACATGTTTGACATGACTTTTATATGGAACAGACAAGAACAAAGTATAAGACATTTTCCATCCCTACCATATGGAACATGGTGAAACAGACTTATTATATTTTACTAATATAATCTCAAAATAAAACTTAATTATCTTTTAAAACATCAAATAAGTATTCTTTTTACATTTTATTCATTATTTACTTTTTTTATTGTATTTTATGTTTTCTTAAACTTTCGTTTTATTGTATTCAAAATATTATTTTTATACGGTTTCTATATTTTTATTAATTGATGTAATTTATTATATTAATAATAAAAAATAATGTAGAAAAAGATAAAATTTAGAATTAAAAACTACATAAACTATTTGGTGTCATTTTAATTATTTTGACTAAAACTTTTTACTGATGTATTTTATTATAAAAATATTTATTATATTATAATTTAATAAATTACATAAATTAATTAAAATAAACAACTTGTTTGGGGCAAATTGGAAAATTTATTTGTTCTGTTCTGTTCAATTTTATCTTAACAAAGGTTGAACAGTTGTTCTAGCCTGTCATATCTGGACACCAAACACACCCTCAAAGTTATCATAATTTCATAGACACTTAAAACATTTCCAACCGATTTTCTATAATTTTATTAAAATAGAGAATCATAAGTTAAAATCTTTATAATAAATTACATTCAACTCCAACATCTTCTATATTTTAGAAAGTTCATCATTAATTTTATTATTTAAATATTTTATTATTTTATAAATGATATAGGAAAGCTGTTGAAACATTATATAGAACAAAAATATATTACAAAATCTACTTTAAATTAAAACTCCACTTAGTTTTTTAGTCTACCAATTTTACAATTTTATTAATTAATTTATAATAATATTTAATTAAATAATATCAAGAAAGTATCTAGTCAACCCATATTTAATTATATACATTTTAACTAATTTTATGAATAAATATTATATTATTTTAAACCTAAATTTATTTTTCTAAGACAATTTAAAAATAATTTATTATTTGATATTACAATTTACACACGCTTATTCATAATTATTGGATTATTAAAAAAAATTAAAAAGTAACTTCGGAATCATTACACCTTTAATTGGCGTGAGAATATTAACCCTTTTTAATTAGATAAATAAAATAATGATAATGTGATTATGACTTTAGTTTACTATTACCCCCTAAACTATACTCTAATTCCATTTTTTTCCATTTATTTAACATTGAAAATCTCGTTACTTCAATTGACGTCTGTTTGTTAGCAGTTTAATGAGACTCACAGCTTATTTATTCAGTTATAAATTACTGTTAACTAAAATCTATCAACATCTTATAAACTGTTACATTACAATTTACTATGCATATAAATCAAAACATATAACCGTTTTAAGTCTTATAAAAAGTAACATTTTTTTTTTAATTTTAGAGACGACTTTTGTGGGTTGGATATAACAGTATTAAAAAAATGAGGGACCATAGTGTCATTAGTGCATACTTTTGGTAGTCAAGTGTAACTTATATTTATTATTGAAGCAGGAATTTATGTCTATATATTTGGAGGGGGAGAGAGATTTGTACGGCATGCTTCTTCACAATTGCGTTTGTAGAACAAACAGAGTCACACGTTCTCTCTTTAGGTCTTCGTCTCCAGGGTTCAGGGCACAGTTGCAGAGATGGCCGAACAGACCACCGTCGCCGCCGTCTCCGATTTGCCGATGAAGAGGCCAAGAGAGGGAGAAGAGAACGGCGCCGCCGCGTTTGAGACGAGTGGGTACATATCATCGGTCATTCCTGGATGGTTTTCAGAGATTAGCCCAATGTGGCCCGGTAGGGTTTCTTCCATTTTGCATTTTTTGATTGTGGGTATGTTTATATTTATGTATTTTTTTGTGGGTTTTTTGATTTAGATTGTTTACAGAGCTCCCCTGTTCTTCTAATTTGCTCAATTCCTTGAAGTATGGAGTTTTCAGTTACATCTGGTTTTGTAAAGTGTTTTTTCTTATGGTTTGGTTTTATGAATCTATTGGTGATTTGGGAGTTAAAAGCTACTGTTCTAGATTGCTTTCTAAAATGAGTTTTGGTTGGTTTTCTATTAAGTCCTGTATGGGTGTATGGGTAAAGCTGTCTGTATTCATCCATCTGTATAGATCCGGAAGCTTTTGTTTGAGAGGGCTTTTCATAGATGGATGGAGCTTGCTTTTTAATTGGGTTTGGAGAAAGGCATTCTGCATAAAGCATCCCTAAGCTCACTTAAAAAGCCACTTTCTATATCATTGAGCTACTATCAAACAGTCAACAGACCGAATAAGCTGCAAGTCTTGTTAGGCCTGTTAAGCTGCTGACGAACATGCCCTTATAGTAATGTGGCATTGTAATTACTTCTTTTGTTCTTATATATATAAATCTGATGGTTATTGTTCTTGTTTTTCCATTTGCCTCTTTAATTTACAGATTCTATAAAGTATTCTGAGGTGTGATTTATTGATTCCATTAGTTTATAGGATTTTTTATATTTAAGAAAAGATATCATCATTCCCATTATCATAGTCCATATTTTATTATGAGGTTCATTATAGTCATATTCAAGATAGAAACAATTGACTCTTGTTTTTGGTTTTTAAGCTACAAAATCTGTTTATTATAAGACTTTTGTTTGTACTTTATTGTGATTACAGGAACTTTCTTTATAACCAAAGCATCTTTCATCAAATTTTAAATTCAAAAGCATCCCATTTCACACCAAGTCAAAAGTGGGCAATAATCATGAAAATGGGGGTTGTACTTTTATTTAATAACATATTCATTGTTGGTTACATGTTGCTATTTTTAAAGGGTTTTTTTGGGATATTAGTTATCTTGGTTTGATAAGTTTAAAACACTCTTTTTGAGGTGCTATCTTTAATCTTTTTGTGTTGGTGATGTTTTCATGTAAATGATTATTCTGTTACCTTATTGTTATGCTCTTTGAGTTTATTTTAATTTCCTTTTGTTGTCATTTGTTCTTGATGTTCATGTAGTGTTATCATTGGTTTCTTGAGTGCATACTTGACTCAACTGAGATGAAAACACTTCATATCTTGTATTGGGATGCAATCATTTTGATGTTATGGTACTTGTAAAGCATAGGATTGATGATTTTTGAATGGATACCTAATTTATCAATCCAATTTTTCGGTATTAGCTTAGAGACTAATATCAGAAAGAGACCCCCATAATCAGATTCTTCATATTTTTGTATGATATGCAGGAGAAGCACATTCTTTGAAAGTGGAAAAAATCTTGTTCCAGGGGAAGTCTGACTATCAAGATGTTATGGTATTTCAGGTATTTGATTTTTCATTTTACTTGGTTAAATCTTGAAATTTTAAAAAATGGTTTTGTGCCCTATTTCGGTTGAAGATTTTTGATTGTTTTGGTTTCAGTCAGCGACTTATGGGAAGGTTCTTGTTTTGGATGGTGTAATTCAACTTACGGAGCGAGATGAATGTGCATATCAAGAAATGATAACTCATCTTCCCCTTTGTTCCATCCCAAATCCAAAAAAGGTTCCATCCACCTCTTACAACTATTTTACTTGCAATCTTCGATGGATAAATGATCTCAATAGCGGTTGTTTGTCATTTCGTTATTGATGTTGGCTGAAAGGCTAGCTGTTGGCTAAAAAACTAGTTGATGTCAAATAAGTTAGCTGCCAGTTGATGAACTAGTTATGTTTGGTAAAAGCCAGCAGATGGGCTAGATGACAATGTAAAATGACATGTTAAAAAGTTAATTGGAAAAACATGGAAAAAGCTCCTGGTGCTTGTTGAAAAGCTACTTGAAGTAGTGGTTCAAAAAGCTAGCTTATCGGCTATCTTATGGCTAACGAAATGGAGCTTTTTCTCAACCATTTTTATATAATCAAACAGGCTCCAATGATGGATTACTTCAATTTCCTTATACATCTTAAAAGGGCTGTTTGGTTGGTTTTTTATTGTCAGTCTTGATTACTCTGTCTATATAGATTGTGAAGTTTTTTGTTTGGGTTTTATTTTTCATAGATGAAAGGAACTTGTTTTCTAACTGGGAGGGGAAAGTTTGGAAAAAACTTGGCTTTCTGCATAAAGCTCTCCCCTAGAAGTCTACTAAATAAGACACTTTCTATATCATTAAGCCACTACCAAACAGTCATGTATAGCTGACCGAATAAGCTGTGAGTCCCATTAAGCTCATTAAGCTGCGAACAAACAGACACTTTAATAGTGTTGTCAGGAAGCATCTAATGCTCTCATTATCTATCTTTATAGGTTCTGGTTGTTGGTGGAGGAGATGGTGGTGTTTTGCGTGAAGTAGCTCGCCATTCTTCAGTTGAGCACATAGATATATGTGAGATCGATAAGATGGTGGTTGATGTGAGTAATAAAGATTTCTTGTAGTCAAAAGCATCGATAGTTAACATAATTTTCAGAGTTTATGAGGCTGTGCAGGATATCTGAATGGGACTAATGTGAAATCTTTTGTCCCATTTTCAGGTTTCTAAAGAGTTCTTTCCTGATGTAGCTGTTGGGTATGAGGATCCTCGTGTCACACTCCACATTGGCGATGGTATATTAACGAGCTACATTATCTTATTTTTTTTGTCATTTTAGGTTTCCTTAGTTTCTGTTTTAATGAAATTTTCCAATCTTTTAGGAGTTGCATTTTTAAAGGCTGCTCCCGAGGGAAGTTATGATGCTGTTATAGTCGATTCTTCGGATCCCATTGGTATATTACCACCTCCATGTGTTTTTTGTGCTATTATGAATTATTATGATTCACACGGCTTTATATATGTCTAAGGGCCTGTTTTGTTATCAACTTAATGAGCTTAATGGACTCGCAGCTTACTCGGTCAGCTATACATGACTGTTTAGTACTGGCTTAATGATATAGACAGTGACTTATTTAGTAAGCTTTTAGAGGGAAGCTTTATGCAGAAAGCCAAGTTTTTAACAAACCGGCCCCTGCCAATTAAAGAACACATTCTTCCATCTATGAGAAAACCCTCCAAAAAAAATTCCCAATCTGTACGGGCAAATTAATCCACAATGATATCTTTATTCCATACAAGACTTAATGGAAAACCAACAAACAGTCCCTTAAATGTCTTAATAGACTGTTTTATAGGACTAAACAATTGTATGTCTTATGTAAATTGAGGGGGAGTTTTTGGGCGTTCTAGCAAGTTTTTAGGACACTTTTGAAATAAATCGTCCCATTAGTATATATATATACATTATTTGATAAAAGTATCTTATAAAAGCAAGTGTTCGTATGACACTTCTCAAAAAGCTTATATCACTCTTTTGTAACACTTTTACATAGGACGTATAATTGTTTGATCCTGTAAGCCTATAAAACATTATATGATAATTAGGAGTCGTTTGGTTGCTTTTCCATTAAATTCTGTATGGATAAAACTGTCTGTTTGGATTACTCTGTCTGCATAGATTGGAAAGGTTCTTGTTTTGTAGGGCTGTTTCATAGATGGAAGGAGCGTGTTTTTTTTAATTGGGAGGGACAGGTTTGGAATTTTTGGCTTTCTGCATAAAGCTCCCCCTAAAAGCTTATTGAATAAGCCACTTTTTATATCATCAAGCCACTACTAAACAGTCATGTATAGCTGACCGAATAAGCATTGAATCCTATTAAGCTCATTAAGCTGCTAAAAAACAGACGTTTGTAATGTCATGTTATGTTGTACTGAGTGAATTATTCATTTGATAAGCTTACATGATGATGGTACTTCAGGTCCAGCACAAGAACTTTTCGAGAAGCCGTTCTTTGAGTCAATTGCAAAAGCACTTCGGCCCGGTGGTGTTGTTTGTACACAGGCCGAGAGCATATGGCTCCATATGCACATCATTGAAGATATCGTTACAAATTGCCGCCAGGTTTTTAAAGGATCCGTCAATTACGCATGGACAACCGTTCCTACATATCCAAGGTAACCCTCCCTTATGTTTGCTTCATTTCATATTGTAATCCCAAGAATAGAGTTGATCATTTGCGGGCTTGGTGGGGCCGGGCTGGGCCGGGCCGGGCCTAACCTATTTTTCTTGTACAACGGGTCTAATATGGCAAACCCAAGCCTTTTTACGGGCTTGCAAACTTTCCCATACCCGCCGTATAAACGGGACGGGCTTGCCCATGGGTTAATGGGCGTGAAAATCTGTTTATATCTTTGACAAAACAAAACATATATAAAATCGCAAGTTATGTAAAATAATTCAACATACATAACATTTTTTTTCTAACTTAAAATTAGACGGAAATACATAACAATGTACATAGTTTAGAAAAAAAATTGTTTCGCAAAATCTGGAGCATCGATAAAGGAAATGACCAAATGAGATAATAAGGAATTCATCAATTGAGGTAATTATGTTTTTACTTTTTAGATTTTTAAAGAGTGCTATTATCATGAGTTATATTTAAGTGGAAATCGACAAGTATCAAGAATTTTAAATTTTATTTGTACATTTTAATTATAAAAGTTGATCATCATTAAAAAAGATTAATGGGCCAGGCGGGCCATCGCCCATGCCCTCCCATTAGTTTTAACGAGTCATTCGAGGCCTGTCCATTTCTTCGGGAATGGTGATCCCAGCCCGCTTTTCTAGCGGGCCAGACAGGACTGGTCTAGCATGAACGGTTCTATGTAAGAACAGTCTTTAGTCGATAGAAGGATTCTAACCCTTAGGTTATCATATGGAACCACAATTGCAGTGGTGTTATCGGGTTCATGTTATGTTCAACGGAGGGACCCGAGGTTGATTTCAGGAACCCGATCAACCCAATAGATTCAAACGATAACGAGAGGCAATGCAAATCTGTAGCACCACCCTTAAAGTTCTACAACAAAGAGGTAACCCCAAACCCTATCTTTCTTGTTCTTTTTTGATCATCAAAGAACTTCGTTTTTGTGGGTAAAGAATCGTTTTTCTTGATCTTTAATTGTGGATTTGCACATACAGATTCATTCAGCTGCTTTCTGTTTGCCATCTTTTGCAAAGAAAGTGATTGAAGCCAGATCAGCCAAGTGATGATTGTGGAGTAAAATTGCAGTTAGCAAGGGAAGGCAAAGAATAGGTGGTGTAGAGTTTCTGGGCTTTCAATCTTAATGGTTCAGATGTCTTAATCACAGCAATAAGTTGAGGGTTTTTGTTTTGGTGGATTCTAGTAAGTGTTATCTCGAGTAGATTTGGATTATGAACTCTGGATTTCATGGAGTCATATTGGTAGATTTTATGCATGATCTATATGAATAATGTTGTAAATTCTTCTAGTGATCATCAAGTCACTTTCAAAGTCTATTGATAAGAGTTCTATTTTGTGTTCGAGCTCGATAATTATCAAGCTCGAGATCGAGATAAACGAGCTCGAGGTCGAGTAGCTCGTAAAAAAACTCGACTCGTTTATACCTCTATGCAAAGTGTCAACACTCCCTTTCTTGCTCTAGAAGTTAGGAAACCCTTGTCTTGGTCCGACTAAAAAAGACATGGGACTCTTTGGGGTAATGACTACCATTTGAGATAATGAGAATATGTAAAACTTTATTAGATTACTTTTCAAAAGAGTCGTTAAATATACACGACGATTCTAACATGTATAGTAGAAATGGTTCAAGTCTAGCCGATGTAGAAGTCCAAGGTAAACTATTTATGGAATCATGTGTTGTGTGAAATGGGTCATCATAGTTCTTAACCAAGCCTCGAGTTAAGCTTCATCTTTGGTTCACGAATTGGTATGACGCTGGGGTGTTCATCGGTTGAAGTCAAATGGATTTAGGTGGATATGATTCAATCATCTATTGGATGTTGGATTTTGTCATCCGATCTAATCCAACAAACATTGGATATCCGATCCAATCCAATGGATGATTGGTTTGTATCAGTTACATTAATTGGATATTCTTAAGTTACTAAAAGACAATGCCTATATATAGTTATTGGATTTTCAGTTTCATTATTTTACGGTTTTGACCCGAAGCCCACATCTTATGCTGGGCCGTTGCACGATAACCGGGTCGGCCATATTATTGGGTTGGTTTTTTTTTTTCCAATTGGTTTCTTTTATTAATTTAGTTCTACACTAAAATTGCAAATAATTTTAATTCATTTTCAAATATAATTATAATATTTTCTTTAGGTTTAAATTTTATTATTTTAAAAAATTAGTTTTTTTCATCATCAATCTTTAGTTTTATAATTTAAAAGAAATTAGTTTTTTCACCATCAATTTATTGCTTATATTTCATCAAAACGGTGAGGTAATTTTAAGGACGTATCATAACATTAATAATCGTGTATTTTGAATATTTATTAATTTAAAAAGATATTTTGAATTTTAAAAATAATTATATTGAAAGACAATTAGCATCTTGGGATGAGCATGGGCATACCACCATGTGCCATCCTTACTGTAAAGAGATGATTACAACAACCAAATGGAGAAAGTTAGGCCTTTGAAATGACACATTTGTTGGAGACATTATAATTCAATTACCATATTATTTCCCAAAAACCATTGTTGGTTGTTAGGGAGAATGTGTAACACCAAAACCCCATTTCACATTCCCTTTTAAATAAACGTTACTCACTTCTAGTTACGTATGCTACGCTAGTGGTCCAAGAATCTTGAAACCGAACCAAATAACTCAACGAGAAATGTCATCACTTGCAACTGTTTAATCTGTGGAGCTTGTCTAACAGTCTGAGTACAAGCATCATACACATTACAAAAACAATCATTAGAAAAGTTATATCTACAGTTATACAATACTTTCTTTCTTGTATCTTCTATTAGACAATAGTTTCTTAAACTGTTCATTGAAAGACTTTCTTCTCTTTATACCCATAATAATTACTTGAAAAATTATTATTTTCAGGTTTTTTTATATTTTAATTTTACTCTTTTATCCATCAACAACCGAATCACATGTGATAATAGCCGTAAAATTACATGACTAGCCTTGATAAATGTATAATAGCGTTTATGAAAGTTAGAGAAAGAGAGAAGTGAGTGGGACTTTAAAATTGATTTGATATTAAATGTCAAAATCAAAAAACTAGAAACCCCACATATCTTAGTGTGTACAGAGGGTTAGATGCCCATTATCACTCCTTCCTTTTCCACAATTATTTTTCTTTTTCTATTATTATTTATTAATCATTAATTAAATTTAATTTGGGATCAAACATTCCCTAATCATTATTTCAAGATTTGCTCCCTAACCTATCACTTAAACCACTTTCTTTAATGACATCACAATATCCATATTTATTTATTTATTGGGTTTTTTTATTTTGAAAATTCCCAAAATGGGTTTTATTTTATTTATTTTGTTGGTAAAAAATAAATAATAAAAAAAAGAGAGTAATTAAAAGAGATGTTAATGGAAAAAGGTTTTCACAGGACAAGAAAGGCTGACGATCTCTGTTTCCTTTCAATTTTATTTTCCTTTTTGGTTTTTTTGAATGCAAGCAAATATAACTTTTTCTTATATTTTAGACCCGAGATTGTGACATCTTATATGCCTTCACGTGACACCCTATTTCTTTCCTTTTTTTTATTATTATTTATTATTATTCATTTTCTTTTTTATTATTATTTAATATCTCTCTCTCTCTCTCTCTCTATATATATATATATATATATATATATAGGTTGGTTATTATACAACCCTTGATATTTGTGCAACCAATACAACCTAATCTCAACCGTCCATTTCATTTGATTAATATGTGATTTCATAGAAGTTTTGATTGTTTTCTAATATAAAATATTGATCATAATTAATGAATCATATTCATCTTACATAAATATTCAAATCATAATAAATGAACTCTCATTATTTCCATAAATATCTCAATTTATTGGGTTGCATTGGTTGTTCAAATACGACAGGTTGTATTTGAAACAAACTTTTTTTCCTCTCTCTCTCTCTCTCTCTCTCTCTCTATATATATATATATATAGATGTTGATTATTATACAACCCTTTACATTTGTACTACTAATACAAACCAATTTCAACCGTCCATTTAATTTAATGAATATGTGATTTCATAGAAATTCCGTTTGTTTTCTAATATAAAATATTGATCATAATTAATAAACTATATTCATCTTCCATAAATATTCAAATCATAATAAATAAACTCTCATCATTTCTATAAATATCTCAATTAATTGGGTTGCATTGGTTGTACAAATAGTCATAGTTGCATTTGAAATATACCCTATATATTAAGAAAAATTGAATCAATTTTACCGTTTTAAATCATACACTATTTAAACCCCACATAAACGTTGGTGTATCACTCTCCATCGTTGTTTGTTTCCACTTTGCCTATCATGTTGTTTGCCCCTGCCATTGGTCCCCCTCTATTTCATCTTTTATTCTCCCTCTTTTTGATGGATAAGCAATAGATCAAATAGAGAGGGAAATAGATCAAATAGAGAGGGAGATCGATGACATGAGTCAACAACCTAATAGACGATGTGAAAACGGACAACAATGGGGGCAACGAAGAGTGACGAAGGGGAGCGATACCGTTGTTTATGAGGGATTTGAATGACACATAGTCTGAAAATGATAAAACTAATTTAGGTTTCTTTTTATTTTACAACCTTCCTAGTCGGTTACAAGTAATTTTTTTTAGTTAAAAGAATGTAGGTACCCAATTTCTAAAAGTTGGATGATTTATATATTCAAAAAAATGTTCAGGGACTTAATTAATCATTTAAAATAAGAAAGTGCAATGATTTTTTCATTCAAAAAATAGTTTACAAACTTAATCATTCAAAATGAGATAGTTTGTTGGGATTTTCTAATTTTTTTTAAATAAATTATATATTTAAATTGAAAAAAGAAAAGATAGATTAATGAGGAAGAAATTAATAGGAAATAAATGGAGTGAAGTTGATATGAATGGTGTCCAGCTAGCTCTAAATACAGAAGAAAAAAGAGGTTACTTCAATTGAAGCTTCATTGTTACTTGCTTTGTTAGCTAGTCTTGGACAACCATGCATGCCTCTTTTTTCCACTATCAACTCCATTTGCCACTTGAAATTATTTATGGCCACTTAAATTAAACATATATATATATATATATATATATATTGTAGGTGAGTTCAAATGAGAACATCATAATATTATGAAAATGTTGAAACACTCGTATCATATGTGATACTAAATCAGAGATCTGTATAGTCTTTGGTGCAACCTAGGTCGCAGTCAAAGTTTCTGCACACTATCACGTCCTCTCACCTGTATTATCACATATGATATGTATGTGCTCGCATTTTCGTAAAATAATGGTATTCTCCTTGCTACTCATACCCTAGAAGTAGGGTACGGACCTCCATGGTTTCGATGTGTCTATACCTTCTTATAAGCAATCTTTACGAGAAAATTAATTAATGGGTGCGAGTCGTATGTATACTCTCATCTTGATTTGAAATGTTTTGGATATTATAAATGAGAGGTGTGAGCTTATTTGGGAAACTCTATGGATGATAATGCACTGTTTTCGACTATGATTAGGTCGGGGGTCAATTAATTTACTACAATGATGATAAATGATGTGATAGACTGATATGATCTTTATTAAACAAATCAAAAGAACTATAGGCTCGAAGGTCCGCATAGTTAGGTCGAGCGAACTAATTCGTTTAATTCTTTACCTGATGTTATTACACACTCAATAAAAAAGAATAAGCATTGGCTTTCCAACAAAACTAAACGTCTTGCTGTTGAGTATATAAAGGTCATACGATCGAGGAGGTTTGAAACTCCCAAAAAATAAAGTATATAAATTATTAGTTATGAGAAAATGATCACATAATTGATACATTCTATTCTATCTCACATGAAAACCCTCTACTCTCTTTCTCTCTCTCTCTCTCTATATATATATAAAGATATATATAGAGAGAGAGAAGAAGAGAGAGGGGATGTTTACTTTGCAAATCATCCATTTTATATAAATCTTACAAACTAATCACATTCATCCATTTTTTTTTATGAAAGACCAAGATAGAAACAAACTAAATAAGTAAAGTAAAAAAAAAAACAAAAAGAATTTATATTGACACGAAAGGGAAAAATGGGGAAAAACATGTTCTATGAACCTGTTTCATTACAACTGTTATACATATGAATTTGATGCAATCATATATGACCTATGAACTTGTTTCATTACAACTGTTATACATATGAACTTATTTCATTACAAACTGTTATACATATCTATGAATATAAATTTGTTTCATTACAACTGTTATACATATGAACTTGATGTAATCATATATGACTCTGTTTCATAGAACAGTTTG